TCAAAAAATAGATGTGATGTACTTTCTGCACAAAAATTAGAAAGAGTGCATAAAGAATGAACCACTAAAATATTTCTCTTCATAAGAACATCAACAGTTTTCAAGCCACCACAGATAGCAAGCCAACCATAGCTAAAGAATCTCAAAGAGTGATGTTTGTGCCAAAGGTAGGGGTGCCAACCAATATAGATAGAAATTCTTAAATGTAACATCAGAGGAATTACCCCATATTAAGTTTTTGGGAGCAGTAGGAAAAATTTGGATAGAAGATATAGTAGCTCTGATTGAGAGGGGAATGGAGTCTGGTAAAGCCCAATTCTCATCAACCATTCAAGAAGATAAATGAGCATCTGAGGGAGCACAAATAGGATTAAGTTTATTGAAAGAAGGGTCAGAGAAGCAAGCATTGTTCAGCCAATGATCATAGAACAAAACAATGAGGGGATTGGATGAATTATTAAACCTGAAGTTGTGCTTGGTTGTTGGGAAGAGATGCATATGTTATTCCAAAATGAAGATGCATTTCATATAGGAGTCTTCCATGGTGATGAATATCTAGCGATTAACCAGCTATTTAGAGGGGAGTTTCCATTGTACATCCTTAAGATAGAGGAGCAGTTGTAAGCATATATGAGATCATGTAAAGAGGGAATCCACAGTCCATCTTTGCACTTAGGCTTGAAAGTAATGACCCAAGAGATTAAGTACATGTGCTTATCATCAGTTTTACCAAAATAAAGAAATTTGACACATAACTTCCTAGTGATTTTGATAATAGTTTTAGGTAATACAAATCCATGTATTGAATAAGCTATCGTGATGGCGATGGAGAATTTGATAAATTGGAGCCTACCTGCAAAAGAGAGTAAACCAGCTTTCTAGCTAGAGAATTTATTAGTGAGCTTCTCCATAAGGAAAGAAAAATTAGAAATTTTGGCTTTGGAAGGAGAGATAGGGATGCCAAGATAGAAGAATTTAGAGCAAGAATTCAAAATTTGAAGAGAGGAGTTGATATCCCTTATAGAAATAGCATTCAAAGAGAGAATTATAGATCTTTTATCTAGATTTAGATGCAGCCTAGAGCACTCAGCAAAGGATTTGAGAATTAATATCAATGAGAATGGTGCAATTAGGGACATTAGCTTCTCCAAAAACAAGTAAGTCATCAACATATAAGATATGTGATATACAAAATCCATCAAGTATGAAGCCTTTAAAAAGATGTGTGAAAGCACCGAAATTAAGTAAACAAGACAAAGCGTCCATAATGATGCAAAGAAGGAAAGGGCTTAACAGACACCCTTACTTAAGGCTGGAAGAAGAGGAGATGCAAAAAAAAAAAAGATAGGGCTTAACAAACACCCTTACTTAAGGTTGGAAGAGGAGGGGAAGAAACCTTCCTGTTTCCCATCAAGATACTTGGAGAAGTTAACCTTTGAAATGCAAGCTTTAATCTAACTAATAAAGCTAGGAGGGAATCCCTTTCGAACCATCCTTAGAAGGAGGAAACAGTATCAAATGCTTTCCTAATGTCAAACTTTACAAAAAAATGCTTCTCCTTGATGTTTTTATTGAACAACCTCAAAATTTTAGATACAAGGATTATATTATCGATTGATAAACGTTTACTAATAACCCCTGATTGAGTAGAGTAGATGATGAGCGGCATGTTGGGCTTGAGCCTATTGGCCAACATCTTAGAAATATCTCATAAAAGATATTACAAAGTGATATTAGCCTAAAATCCCTAATGTTGTCAGCATGATGATACTTAGGAATAAGGAAAGTGTAGTAGCTTTCTCACATATAGAAAGATAACATTTTGTAAAAAAATACCTAACCACCTTGTAAATAGTTGGGCCATAAGTAGACTAGGATTTTTTTAAAAAATAAAAGTTAAACCCATTCGGTCCAGGGATTTTAGGTGAGAAAGCTAATTTAATGTAATTAAAAGAGAAACTTCTTATAATTTAAAATTTGTCAGACGGTTGTATCACAACTTTTATTGACTAACATCCATATAAAAAATCATTGGACCTTGTTGAATAATGTATTGTGAAGAACTGACATTCAATTATTCTTTTTTGTTTATTATATTTTTGAAAACCTACCAACACTATCAAATTCATTCATTATTTGTTGAGGGTAATATATATATATATTTCTCAATGTCCTACTTCTATTTTGTCCCAAAAAAAAAAAAACCTATTTACAACTATATCATTTAACAAGTTTGAATAATCTATCAATTGACTTCTAATAATGTCATTATCATTCAAACAGTGTTGCATGTGACTTTATTGGAGTATAAATACCATACTCTTTAATTGCTAAAGATAATAAATAAAGTCTTCTCTATTGATTGGTACAATTTTTTTTTAATGTTTTTGATAACATTTTGATTGGTACAATGAATCCTATAAAAAGTTTATATAAGTAATATATTTTTTAAATTAGATAATAATTTTCTTAAAAAATTATGAAATATAAAAATGGCTTCTCTCTATAAAAAAAATTTATGAAAAACAATAAAAAAAAGTTTTATAGGAATAGATTTATGATTGTTTTATAGAAAAAAAAGGAAAAAAAAAAAGTTTTAAGTAGATCCTTAAATTTTTTTTTTATGGATTTCTTTAGCTTTGGAGCATGACTTGAATGGCAAGTGAATTATATATTTATTTCTATTATTTTGTTTGTGATATATAGTCTTTCTTGCAATAGATTCATAGACTTAGGTTTCGTTTGGGACAATTTTCTTATTACTTTCTGAAACTGTTTTTTAGTAAAAAAAAATCTAATTTAAAAAATTTTATAACTAAAACACTATTTTCAAAAGCATTAAGAAAGTTGTCCCAAACGAATCCTTAAGCTTCGTTTGAGAAAACTTTTTTTAAAACAGCTTTGTAATACAAAATTTTTAAGTTCAAGAAATCTCTATACTAAAAAATTGCTTTAAAAAAATATCAAAGTTATCTTATGATTTGTTTGAGATTGAGTTTTTATTATTTAGCTTTTCAAATAACAATTATAATTTGATTTGACTACTATCTTCTTCCTTTCTCATTGCTTGTCAAAATTCATGCCGTTAAAAGCTATTTAAACCTATTTTTTCTAATTCACAATTAATTTTATAAAATATTATAGTCGTTACAACAATCTCTTAATAAAAAAATAATTTTCAAAACATCTCTTCATCAAGGTGAAATTATTCTGTACGGATACGTACGTCGTCAGAAGGCGAATCAGAATGAGCCATATCATCCATTTGCTATGTACCCGGTTGTATACCGTTGTATACTGATTGACATGACACATTCTAATTAGCCTCTAAACAGTCCGATGTCTCTTCTAAATGATCTAATATCCGCACAGAATAATTTCTCTAATTAAAGAGCTCATATTCGAAATTTATACTCTCAAAATATTCCTGTTAAAAAGTTCACCTCTGACGTCTATGCCTATGTAGTACAAAATATTTATAGTGAAAACAGTTGGATTTATTGATGTGACTATGCTCCTGCTGTAGCGGTTGGCCGTCGTGTGGATTAAAATAAAAGAGGCAAACTTTGTGAAAGCCTTTTTATTTATTTATTTTTTGGGATATTTGATTTAAAGTAAGAAAATTATTTTAAATATAAGAATTTTGAGGATATTTGTATTTAATTTGAAGTTAAATAAATACAGTGTAGGATATAAATGTATTTGAAATTTATCTTCTTGTTTATCTTAGTGTATTTGAAATTCTTTAAATTTAGATTTCATTTTAGACGGATTTTTTATTTCTTCTTAAAGTAATTTTTTAGTACAAAATTTAAAATTTTGTACTAAAAAATTATTTTATGAAACAGTAAAAAAGTCGTTTAGGACAGCTTTCTTAAGACTTTCTAAAATAACCGCAATAAAAAACTGTTTTAGAAAGTAGCAAAAAAATTGTCCCAAACGAAACCTTAGATGAGTTCAAATACACTAAAAATTCATTATAATTTACCTCCACGCTCTGGTCGTCAACCATTTATCGCCGTCACTGCCATGAACTTTATTACGTCCTCTGACCGGACGTAGATCTACGTTCGGTCAAAGGATTTTTGCTCCGTATTTGGTCGGTATTGCTAGTTATTGTTTGATAATAACGAGGAATACCACTATGGGAATATCAATACCGAGTAATACCGAGCAATATCGAGTATTACTAAAAAATATCGAGTTTTTCTAGAAAAAATCGGTATTGCTCGGTATTACTCGGTATTTTGTCTTCACATAATGATATTTCTCGTTATTATTGATATTGCTCGGTATTTACTCGGTATTGGTTATTGTCGAGAAATCGAGAAATACCGAGCCATCCTCGATCCGTTCCTGATCAAGTTGTCGGGACACGCGATAAATAATAAGAACGCATTACGCGATTCTCTCACCAGACCAAATAAAAGTTCCGGATCAGGACTTCCCGTAATAATTTCTCGTGAGATAGATGCTAAATTTTATCATTGTAAAAAGTTAAAATATTTTAGTATTGTAGCTGTCATGTCAAAGAATATTAAAATTTAAGAAACCGAAAGTTATAGAATTATTTGATTCCCAAACAGCCCCTAAAAAAAGCCATTAAACAATATTCCTCCTCGTTTAAAATCCTTTGACTCTCTCTTTCTAAAAAATTGGTATTGCTCGGTATTACTCGGTATTTTGTCTTCACATAATGATATTTCTCATTATTATTGGTATTGCTCGGTATTTACTCAGTATTTCTAGTTTTGTGCTTGCGATTTTAATGCCGGCCGAATGTAACTCTAGATAAGTTCAGTGGACCAAATAATGTTTTATAACTATCTTTTAATAAATGTATATAACAGGTGCCGACTTTTTTAAAAAATATAATTCTCATAATTATAATTTAAAAAAAAAATCAACATTTTTCACCCCAAAGCGATTACAGCTTGCAGGGATCTTCGAGGATCTATAAATTGCAAGGAGCCGAAGAGCCACAGCTATGAAATGCGAGAGAGAGAGAGAGAGAGAGAGAGAGAGAGAGATTGCTGAAGCGAGGTTCAAAGGTAGGTTTTGGTTATTTACAGGAAGGATTTTTCGCGAATGCTTCCAAGCTGCCATTCGGATTCTCTATGTTTACCTTCTCAAAGAAATTATAGTTTTCCTTTTAGCGGAAGTGTCAAATTTTCTTGTTTTTTATTGCCGTAATGCGTTCTGGTTAAACTGAGATCATGGACCCCCCACTCGATATACTGAGCTTTCGAATTCTTTATGTTCTTTGAATTTTCACCAAATGGTGAAAGAAGGATTCATTAGAAATTTATATTCCTTTCCTTGTCGTTTTCTTTTTATTGCACTGGATTTCTTCTTGATTTTTCTTGGTTTTAATAGCTTTATCCATTGTTTCTCTGTAGCTCTTGAACCGAGTTAATGGTGGTTTTGCCTCATTTCTTAATTTGAAGGTGAACCAAAGGAAAACTGGCCTGTTTCATTTATTAAGGGCTTATTCAGCCTGTTGAAGATTAGCTTAGGATTTCACGTGAGTTGAGATTATGATTAATCTACTCAAATTTTGTCAAATTGATCGGTTGAATTACTTAACACCTTACCTGCTCTATTTTTATTAGAGGTAAATTACATATTGTCTTCTGCCAAGCAGAAAATTTTATGCACGACTCTGATCTCAAACCAAACATTCTGAACCCTAAAGCAGGAGTTTGACCATCTGAATTGTCGTTTTTCTTTTCATTCTTTGGAAGTTTTCTGTTTCTGCACCATAGGGGAAAACATTGCTGTAAGATTATATTATGCATTGGTGGAGATAGAAGTATTCAACGATTCATATTTCCTTTCAGCAACTTAATATACTGAGGATAAGCATTCTATGAACTTGGAAATTCTTCAATACTCGTATGCTGGGAAACAACTTGCCTACTGTTTTCTTTTCTATGTTGTGTTAACATAAAATTAAATATTTTGATTAAGGAACATAATTTAAAACGAGTGATAATCATGCTTGCAACATGAAAAAACAAAATTAAGATGAGAAGCACAAGCCTTTTGGACTGAGGAATGTAAATTTCGATAATTTTCTCAAGTAAATTTCCTCCCTTGTGTAGAATTTCGTGGCATATTTTTGCTTCCAGAATATAAAACTTTGCAGACAATCTGATCTTCATAATCATGAACGAATCTAGTGTGTGCAACTTGGGCCGACTGGCTCAGGTTTGCTCCACTTAGCTACTTAATCAAGTGTCTCGGGGCTCCTTTCATCCTCATTAAGGAGAAAACTTTGGGCATTTGAGAAGTACAATAAATTCTCATTTTCTTAATGAAATAATCATAAATATTGGATATCTATTGAGGACTCCACCTTTGAATCTTCGGAAGGGGACTCCCCACCCTCTTCCAACTGTTCTGGCTACCTTACCACAAAAGTGAGCCTGGATTAAGTCTATAGAGCTCATTTTCTTTGTAGGATTAGGAAAAAATTTGGCAAAAAATCATGATTTGAAGGTTCAAAGCATAAAAGGAGCGATCATCAATGTTAATAAATCCAAGTTTCAAAAAGACAATAAGTTGAGTCATGGATGGATAGCTTTAATCGATGTTATGTCAGCTGTTTGGTGAGGTCATTCACTTCTCTTACCTCAATTTGTTTTGCTATTCCAGAAACTCCTTTTGCTATAGATCTCAATAAGTTAACGTTGAAACTGCTGTTTTTTCTAACGGTTAATGTATGAAAAAGGTTAGTTGAGGGAGGTATTGAATATTTTGCCATACTTCGGGGGGCAATATGATATTTAACTAGAGTTCAGTGGAGGTTAACGATAATTGCCCAAAAGCACTAAAACAACATCTGGTTTCGCAGAATCTGCTGTACTATTTCTTGGTTTAAGTTATCAGTCAACATTCTTTTTTCCATTGTTAAACAGATCATTACATAACCATTATCATCATTCGAAATGTTTGATGCTTTATGAATTCTCATTCTGTATTAATTTCTATTGATTACTGTTAGTGGGAATAACACTAATGATGATGATACTATGGTGTTAAAAAAGGCACGAATTGTTGGTTTTTTTTTAGCATGGCAGTAGCTATCTTCTAATTGAATGCGAACTTCCGTGATATTTGTGCAAGTGTAAAGTTCATGGTGGACAGTTTTTCCGTGATAGATTTATTAAAAGTTCTCCCTTTTCAAAAGGCTGACTTGATTACAGCAACCAAAATAAAATAGTTAAATTTGTTTCCATATAGAACTTGGACGTACTCGCTTCTTTTATGGGCTGCTGGTTTTCAAAACAAGTCAAGCACACTCCTGGGTATGAAGAACCGGCTATTCTTGCAGCTGAGACCGCATGTAAGCATTCAAATTTTTTATATCTTTACTGAAAGCCATATATTGTGTGTTTGTTATCTGTTCTCTTATGTGATTTTCATGATTTTCCTTCAACACTTCAAAAGTAAATTGGTTGTTCTCGAACTGTACATTTACTGGGAGTTGAATTACCTGTTGCATTATCTCATTTCAGCTTTGAGATTGCTCATTTTTTATGAACTCAAATCACTCATAGCTGTTCTAGAATTTTCATAGACATTCATCACATTTTAAATATTAAATTTTTCATTATAGCTTGATTATAAGATTTTGTAGGATTTAATGGAGGCAGGAAAATAATTTCAACATCTCTGAAAGGCATGTTAAATTATCGAGAAAAATTATTTGAAGCGTACCTGAATTGATGTGAAACCTATGTGAATGGAGGGTGAATTAGGAACTTGCACGCTTGATCTAGAGAACAATATTATTTAAAAGCTTTAAGCGATAAAACGACGAGATAATACAAGAGAGCGGTGTCATAAGTTTAGGCTAAATCACATATATAAAAGTTAAAACCACAAAAGTAATCAATTACTCTTAACGTTGCATGCGAGATAGGTTTCAACCAATGTTTAAAATTACGTATTCGGGTATTGAGGCGTTTTTCATTCGTGAGGCGAGGCGTAAGCCTCAAGACGTTTTGAGGCGTAAGCCTCAAAATCAAAAGATTGCGTAAATATAAAATGATAAATTTTTTATATACTAATGAGTGAATAATATAAAACATAAAAAATCATAAGATATTATGTGAAATCAAAATATCCCAATAATAAGACAACATGAAATATATTTCAACTCAAAATTCTATCTTTCCCAAATCCCAGTATTCTTTTCATTAACATATAATTCAAATTTCTAAAAATAAATAGCAATGACATATCACAGAAGAACTCATAAGCCATCAGCACTGTCATCACTAAGGGGTTCTTCATTTGAAACATCATTATGATAATCTGCTCTCTCCCCATCCTCCTCTCCTATAGAGTCCAATTTCGGGCATTTACTTCAAGATTTATGTAAGTTTTAATATATATAACATGAGGTGCAAGCCTCATGCCAGTGAGGCGAGGCGGGCCTCAACCAAGTTGAGGCGCAAGCCTCATAAGAAAACTCGAGGCGTAAGCATCGAGTCGTTTTTTATTGGAATTGCGCAAAGGAGAGCCTTATATTGCGCAATTTTAAACCATGGTTTCAACAAGAAATTCCTACGCTAACAATAAGACTAATCACTACAAGATGATCCCTCACTCAACTCTCTAACTTACTAAGCTTTTGCAGAGAGATTAGCACAAGTCTTTATGATTTAATTATATCCACAATTGAAAAGTACTTGGAAGGTAAAAGAATTGGAGGATGAGTTTACCCAGAAAAGACGAGGATGCGAAGTTCGGGTGTAGTAGTTTAGAGCCTTGAGAATAGGTGTACAGCAACACCCAACTCTTATTAGCCTTCGGACAGCATTCTTGAGGATCTCTTATGGTGGACAGCGAACTCCCTTGGGCGGGAATCTTTGGACAACTAATTGCAGTTTATGGATAGCCCACGGAGGTCTCCTGGCGGTAAAACAACCACCAAACGTTGTCCTGAACTTCTGGACAGCAAGTAGGAAACAACTTATCTTGTCGAAATTTCTTGGATAGCAGCCAAACAACGGCCCGGACAATTTGGGAAACAGTTTTGCCAAGTCGGGGAGGTTTTGGACAGCCAGGAACACCACTTGGAAAAGCCGGACAGCTAGGTTGACGGGTTGTACTTCTTGGATAGCGGTTACGGAATTCCCTTTTCAGATTTGAGCAAGAGAGACTAGGATTTGAAATTTGAATTCAAAGTTATGGGAGTTTTAATTAGTTTCCTAATTGAAGCCAATTAAATTATGAGGAATTGATGACTCATAATTCCTCTTAATTTAATTTTGAATTTTGAATTGAAGAGTTAAAACTTTCCAATTATGAATCATACCAAATAGGAAAGGTTTCAAATCTAAAATTTAAATTCAGATTTTGAATGATTTCCCTCTCAAACTCCTTAACCCAAATTGGAAAGAAGTGAAACCAAGGGAAGAGGGGAGGGAGGGACGGCCACATGAAGCGGGCAAAGGTGTCTAGGTTCGATGTATGTGTGCCAAGGGAATTAATTGTTGATTGAAATCAAATCTGAAATTAATTTCATATTTGATTAATTTTAGAGAGTTTCCTAATTGAAATTTATTAGGGAGGGAATTATTTGAATTCAAATATTGGAATTGAATTTTAGGAAAGTATTTATGGGCTTAGAATTTTTAATTTCAAATCTATGGAAGAGGGAGAGGTGGCCGGCGGCATGGGGTGGAGATGGTGGCTTTGGAGGGGTGGTCGGCGACTGGGTAGGCCAAGGCAGCCGGCGGGTTGGGGGAACAGGGGCTTGAGGTGGAGGAATTTGGGAGAGAATTTGGTGGTGAGAATGGCCGGCGTTGGAAGCTATGGAAGTAGACGGGTGGGGGGAGGGAATTCGATGCAAGAAGAAAAAATAAAAGAAAAAGAAAGTTAAGAGAACCGCGAACTTTGGAATCCACCAAGATTGACGGGTATTGCTTTTGCCCCACTTGGGCCTCTCCTCTCATGAACTCACTAAGAGATCATCCAAAGAGAGAAAACTTAGAACTCACAAAAAGATCCATAAGCACAAGCTGAAAATTTCATATTAATCATCATGTAGTACAATGTATGAGGCCTCCTATAATTAGGTCAAAATGAAACAAAAACTAAGAGACATAAATGCCCTCGGGGTTACAATATCAAATGACCACCCCTAGGAGTAAAATGGGAAAACAGGAAAATAAAATAAACTAGTACATAAGACACAAAAGAAAATAATAAACTCCACATCATAGCCGTCGATCTTCCAATGTCCTCATCATGAATCCATTGAAAAATTGAATCGAGGTTTTCAGTCCTTTACGTTTGAAGCAGCGTTCTCCAAGAGAGCAAGAGACCTCCTTTTTCACTCAAAATGGAAATGAGAAAAATGAGAACTTAACCACTTAAACTGGAGACAACGATCCTTTTATACTTTAAATATATTTATTTTATTTCAGCCCATCATTAAAATAAAATAAATACTCGACCTCTACACAATAATTAATTTCATACAAATTTAATTGAGATGTCACATAAGTCAAATAATAATTTAATTCTTAAATAGATCATGAATTTAATTGGCTCAATTTCAAATAGTGTCTAATATATAATACTTTATTTATATGTATAAATATATGAGCTCACATACATAAATTTTTCAATCATTTTCAACTTGAGCACATATATATATATACTTGTAATTATACATTATAAAATAAATGTAAAAGCTTAATATTTGCTATCTTTATAAAATTTTACCTTTAGACAATCTAGTCCATCAATTATATCAATATAGAATCAAAACTATCTTTGTTACATTCTTTACAATAAGACTCATAAATGGTTACTATATTAATATAATTAACGACATAGATCAAGTATGGATGTGCAGCATGAAAATTTTATGTAATGTGATCTCAAAGCATGACTCCAAAGAATTATCATGAAAGATTCAGTGCTATATGTTAAACTGCAACTGAAATTAAATAACTCTATTTAAGAGGTTTCAATAATCAAAATAACAACACTTTAGTCGGATCAAAAAATAATTTTATAATAATTTAAAAATACAAATAAACTCCCACTATGCTAGCATATCATAAAAAAAAAATTACACCCATACGAGTCACATGCTCATAAAATATTTTAGGAGTTAATCCTTTTGTAAGTGGGTTTGCAATCATAAAGTTTGTACTAATACGTTCAATAGAAATTTGAGAACTCTAAATCCTTTCTTTCACAACAAGAAACTTAAAGTCAATGTGCTTTTATTTTGACAAGCTCGTGTTGTTTTTGGAATATAATTCAATTGTTTTATTATCATAATTTATCTTTGATGGTCTCTCAATGTCATCAATAATATTTAGTCCTGTGATAAAATTTTGTAACCATATTCTTTAATTTGAAGCCTGATAACAAGCTATAAATTCTGCTTCTATTATTGAAGAAGCTAGAAGTGATTGCTTGACACTTTTCCAACAAATAACTCATCTAGCTAACATGAAAATATAGCTTAAAGTGGATCTTCTGTTATCAAAACAACCAGTAAACTCATAATCATAATACCATGCGATCTCTAAATGATCATATCTTTGATATATGAGCATAAAATCTATTGTCCTTTTTAAATATTTCATAACCCTTTTCACTGTTTTCCAATGATTTATTCATGGGTTACTTAAATATCTATCAAGCATTTCAATGATATACGTAATATCCGAACGCATACAAACTTGAGCATATATAAGATGCCCTATTGCCAATGCATAAGGGATCTTATTCATCTCTTGCTTTTCAACTTAATTTCTTGTGCATTGAAGCATACTAAATTTATCCTCTTTTTCAATGGGTGTATTCCCTGGTGCACAATCTTTCATGCTAAATCTGCTAAGCACTTTATCAATATAAGTTGTTTGTGATAACCCAAGCATACCATGGGAGTTCCGATAAATTTGTATACCCAACATATTAAATTTATTTGAAAGAAATCTCTTAGTCTCATGTATCAAGCCTACATCACTGCTTACTAGCAGAATATTATCGACATATAACACTAGGAGAATAAATTTGCTCACACTGACCTTATGATAAATGCATTAATCAATAGTATTTTCTTTAAAACTAAATGAAGAAATTACTTGATTAAATTTCTTATACCATTGATGGGATGCCTGCTTTAAATCTTAAATGGATTTCTTGCACGCCTGACGTTTTGAATCAGAAGATTAAAAATTTTCTAATTGCATTATATATATAGTTTACTCAATATCTCCATTAAGGAATGGAGTCTTTACATTCATCTGATGTAACTCCAAATCATAATGAGTTACAAGTATCATAATAATTCTAAAAGAGTAAATCAAAAAAATTGAAGAGAAATTATCTTTATAATCAATGCATTCCTTTTGAATGAAACTTTTAACAACTAGATGTGTTTTATATTTTTTAATATTACCTTTTACATCCTTTTTGGTTTTAAAAATCCATTTACAATTAATAGGTTTTGCTCATTCAGACAATTTAAAAAAATCTCAAACATCATTATCTTTTATTGATTTCATCCCATCTTTCATAACTTTTATCCAATTTTTGGAATTAAAACATTGTTTGACTTGACTGAATGAGTTTGATTCATCTTCCAATTCCATATCCACCTCATACTCTTAGAGATATACAATATAGTCAAATGAAATTGTTGTTTTCCTTTCCCTTGTAGATCTCCTTAATGGCACTTCAATTTGAGGTTGTTTTCTTTCTATATGAGTAGGAGATAATTTAAAATTATTATGATTATTTGGATTTACAATCTGAATAATATCAGACATAGTTACCTGATCATTTTCAATTGTAATATTAAGAATAGCATTATATTCCTCCTTAAAATCAAAATCTCTGAGTTTATCACTCTCACTATATTCAATATTTTCAATAAATTTAGTATCGCCAGTCTCGAAAAATGATTTATTTGAGAAATCATTAAACTTAAAACCTCTTGATCTTTTAAAATATCCAACAAAATAACACCTAACAATTCTTAAGTCCAATTTTACTTGTGGAGTTCCTTTATTCGCAACTCCTTTAGCTTTATAATTCATTTTACTTTTGGTGATAATATCATGAGAAGAAGAAGCTAAGTGAGCACTTTCAATATTTTCTTATTTCAATTTTTCTTGCTCTTGCACACACTAAGCAATAAGTTCATTAAGAGTCCATTTTTTTCTTTTGTGTATTGTAACTTATCTTAAAAGGACTAAATTGTGCAGGAAGAGAGATTAAGATTATATGCACAAGAATATCATCAGATAATTAGAACTTTAATGCTTTTAGTCTTGTAACAAGATTACCCATTTCCATAATGTACTCTCTTATGTTCCATTTGCCTTTATCCCTCATTGAAACAAGTTTACCAAGAATAGTACTTATTTCAATCTCTTAAGAAACTGTGAAATAATCTGCTATTTGGCTTAAAAATTTTCTAGCATTTTCCTCCTCAGTAATTGCATCCCTTATTGTATCTAGAATAGAGTGCTTTATGAGCATAAGACTCATACGGTTTGAACGCTCCTACTTTTTAAAGTTTGCCCTTTATTCAATAGTGATTAAGGGCAACAGGGCGTTCAGTCTGAATCGTATATTCTAGATCCATACACTCAAGAATAATAGTAATGTGTTATTTTCATTTTTTTAAAATTAGAGCCATTAAGCACTGAAATGTTATTTAAATTGACAGATATTGAAGAAATATTAATTGAAAAAGAAGAAAATAAACTCACAATTAGTAACATTATAAGGTGAGCCCTTTATAAAATACTTAACACAACATCATAATTTAAGTTTTTGACAGAAATTATAGTTTGTAAATGGTACTCTTAAAATTATAGTTAATAAATATTGATAATAAATTATGCCGATAATAAATCTTTCTTTAGACCGACTTACTATATGCATGAATAATTTTAAAATTATCACTTATTTATTACTGCATCTTTAAAGTCTGGCCAAAAAATAATCTTCCTTTGGGCCGATTATTTTCTGTATAAACTAAATTAAATATGTAGCACCGATTATTTTCTGTATAAACTAAATTAAATATGTAGCATTATTCAATTAATTTTAAAAATTAAATAAATTAATATAATAGAGGTAATTTTGAGGACATATTATTTCAATTTAATTTAATTTTGAATTAATTAATAATTATACCAAATGATAAATATATTTTAACACTGAATTAATTGATTTATTTACCAACATTTCTCCATATGAAAAAAAATGCATGAGAAGAAAAAATTCAAAATGTTGAATAGTAACTTTAATCAAGAAATAATTAGAAATGATTTCACAAGGAATCAATTTCGAGATTGCTTTGAATGTGTCGGGCATAAGTCAAATGAAATCAATTTGCTTTTAACATACCATTAAAACGTCAATAGGAATAATATATTCATAAAATCTATTTCGGTATGCAAATAAAAGGGATGTAGTTATAATTTACACATTTATCAATAATTAACTGATTTAAAAAAACAAAACGTCAAAATTAAATAACTGATTACTTTAACCGCAAACTCACCAACAGAGCCTGTTCATAAAAAAATGATTGAAATAATCAATTCGTTCCGTAATTACAAATAGTTTTCTTGAACTAGGAAAAAACTTTACACGTAGATGACGAAATACATTGAAGAATAAGTGAATGATTGAATCAATATATTCACATTAAAGCTTTCAAATTCATATGTATAAATTGAATTTCTCAAAAAATGACTTAAAATCTTAAACAAAATAGTTTTGAAAATTTTGGCAGTTAATTTATACGGAGAAATTAGAATCTTTGCAAATGAAAATTCTCAAACGAAGATTTTTTTGACCAAAAAACTCAATTAATTAATAACATGATTATAGAAAATCATTTCTCGTTGATTCAGCATGACAATCGGGCTCTGATACCACTTGTAGGATTTAATGGACAGGAAAATAATTTTAACGTCTTCGAAAGACATGCCAAATCATCGAGACGAATTATCAGAAGCGTACATGAATCCATTAAAAAATAAAATTTAGGTTTTTCATTTTTCCACGTTTGAAGCGGCGTTCTCCAAGAGAACGAGAGACCTCTTCTTTTCACTCAAGATGGGAAATGAGGGAATGAGAACTTAACCACTTAAATTGGGGACCACGACCTTTTATACTTTAAATGTATTTATTTTATTTTAGCCCATCATTAAAATAAAATAAATATTTGGCCTCTACATGATAATTAATTCCATACAAATTTAATTGAGATGCCACATAAGTTAAATAATAATTTAATTCTTAAGTAGATCATGAATTTAATTGGCTCAATTTAGATAGCGTCTAATATATAATACTTTATTTATATGTATAAATATATGAGCCCACATATAAAAATTTTCCAACAGATTCTTCCTAATATCTTTACAATCTCACCAATATACAAGCAGTCACTGTCAGCGAGGTAGAGGCCCTGTACGAGTTGTTCAGAAAAATTAGCTATTCAATTTTCAAAGATGGCCTTATTCATAAGGTATTTTTTATACGAGCAATTTGATTAAGTTTTTACATCTGACGCAGTGATTATTTATTTTGTAACATACAGTTTTAATGCTTGCAGGAAGAGTTCCAGCTTGCTCTCTTCAAGAACAGCAAGAAGAATAATCTTTTTGCTGACAGGGTCTGTTGTTTATTCTCATTCCTTCTCACCTTGTTTTAAATAATAACCCGTAAAGGACTTTGATTATGTATCTTATCTTATAGAAGTGTTTCAATTCTTGTCATTTATTGAAAATCAACCTTAATTTCTTATGTGCTATCTTATTTTACTTGCACTACCTCTAAAATCTCACAAGGTTCTCTAATGTTCGATGCTCAGCAGGATGGCCTACATTAAGAGTTTCACCTAGGAAGGAACTCTTCTTCTTCTTTTTTTCCACTATTTATTACTGTCTTGAGGGAACTTTTATTATTGTTTGAAGATTTTAGATGATCAGTTGAAAAGTTCTTTTTTTTTCGATTTATGATGATCCGGACCCCATAGAAATCATATTCTGGCACATATTTCAACCAATCTTGCAATCTTACTTAAGTTTTGAGTGTAATGAGTGACCTGCATTGACTCAATTAGGAATCAAAATGGCAAATGTCACGTGTCAATCACACTACTTAGTCTTTTCTACTCCAATAGTCCATTACCATCTCCTCTATGTATGCCTCAGCCGAAGTATGATAATTTGATTGAACTTGAACAAGGAGTGGCCTTCAAAATGCGGTCGTATTAACAGTCTTTAGGGAAGGAAAGATCTTCAATATTCACTTGCACTATTTTGATCTCTTACATTTTTTTTTTCTTTTTTCTATTTTTTTATTTGTCTTTTTCTCTTGTTTTTATGAGAATGATGACATCATCCAATTCTCATGCAATCAGCGATTAGAGATATTGAATGTTCCGACAAACATTGAATTACTTGAATCCTATAATGGCAATCATTTAATAGCAATTTGAGGGTCATTATTGAACTTTTGATCATGTGTAGTTGTTAGTGTAAAAACAATCACTTCTAGTGTTCGGAGCAGAGATCCATAGAGGGTGTAGAGATTTGTATGAGATCAAAGAGCAACGACAGAGGGGTGATCTGCAAAATTTAGTCAAACCAAATATTAATAATATGAGGTCTTTGATTTAGTCGAATCAAAGATCAATAACTCAACAACTTATATTTTTGGGTAAGAAAATTGCCTAGAAAAGAGAAAAAGATCATAATGATACGTGCTTGTGAGTGAGTGAATTTATTAGATACAATTTAAATTTTGTGGTCGAGTGGTGAGGCAATTGAACTCAAGATTACTAGTCATGGGGTTTGATTGTAATCAAGAGAGAGAGAGAGAGAGAGAGATGTGAGGGAGCCGGGATGTTTCTTGTTGTTTTGGTAAGAACAAACCTTTGCAATCTTTTATTGTCTCTGAAATCTTTGGATTTTATGTGGAAGTAGTCCCAACCCAGTAGTACGGAACTTTGGTTTTCTCTGATGGTGCTATGCGGTTACCATGAGACCATAAAGATGCCTTCTGTAGGCTCTCCCAGTTAGATACGTAAAACTAGACTGTATGTTAATAGATTATCTATCCATATAAACTGGCATCTGTAGGATCTTTTGCGTCTGCATGATATAAAAGACCAAAAAACAAAGTGTCATCTGCTACTATTGCTTCTATCGGACTGTAATGGCAGGATAGTAGCTTCGGAGAATTAGACTATTCATTTGTCTTCAGATTACAGAATTACTAAACTTCAAGGTTGACATAATAAATTTTTTTTTTTACATTCTAATTCAGTTTGCATAAATATTCTTGTTTAATCACCTAACTGTTATAGTATAGATGTTAATTTAATTAATTCCCTTGGTTTTTGCTTATGTTTTGCAGATTTTTGACTTATTTGATCTTAAGCGAAATGGTGTAATCGATTTTGGGGAATTTGTTAGATCCCTCAGTGTCTTCCATCCAAACACGGCACAAGATGAAAAAATTGCATGTATGATTTTTTTTCTTACTTCAAACTGTTATTTTGTGACCTTTATTGTAATTTTTTTGGTATGCACTTTATTTGATTATGTGAAAATAAAATTATCTTTTATTTTTAAAACTTATAAACTTCTGAAGTACTAAATTCAGTTGCATTTGGTTTTAGTAAAATCCTTCCAACATCCAGGGGCGGATCCAACTTCTTTTTTCATGGTGGGCAAAAAAAATTTTTTTGATGGGAGATGGACAAAGACGCTTGGGATTAACAAAATTAGGGTAAATTTCTTTTTTTGAGAGGGGGCAAAATACCCAAAATACTCAAAATATGCCAAAATATACCCTCTAAATTTTTTTTTTTAAAAAAAATTGAGGGTGGGCATTTGCCCCGCCTCAATCCAATGGGGATCCGCCCATGCCAACATCTTAATTCTTACACAACTGATGTGGTTCAACAATTTTTAAGTTCTATTGATGAATTATCATTTTTTTATTTTCTATGCCAAGCTCTTGATGTTGTGATTTGTTTTTATGAAGTTGCTTTCAGATTATATGACTTGAGGAGCACTGGTTTTATTGAACGTGAAGAGGTAATTTTTCAATCATTGTGTTGTTTCTGAAAATTTAGGCTCTGCCTTCATTTTGTTCATAGAATTGAAGTTTTGTCATTCAACAACCATTTTATTCTAAATCTTCAAGCTTCTGTATTTTACTTTGGTCATTTAATTAGAATAATCTTTGCTGATTATTTGGTCATTCAATTAGAATTATCTTTGTATTTTACTGCTTCTACAGTTAAAGGAGATGGTGCTTGCTCTTTTAAATGAATCAGAGTTGTGTCTTTCAGATGATTTAGTTGAAACGATCGTTGATCAGGTGAGAATGAATCTTCCTTTTCTTTTTCAAGTTGGTTTTTCTAATCACCGTAAATCCAAAGGCGGATCCAGCTTCTTTTTTCAGGGTGAGAAAAATTATAATTAATTAGATGATGACAACAATAATAATAAAAATAAAATAAAATAATAATAACATCAATTAGTAATAACAATAATATAATTTTTTTTTTTTAATTTAACCAACATAATGCTATCAAATTTATAAGAGAAAATTTTTATAATTTATTCACAAAGGAAATGTTCGAAACTTCAGATGGATGGGTAAAAATGTGAAATGGGTCATATTAGGGCAAAAATTTATTTTTGAGGGGGAGACAGAATTTCAAAATTATCCCTTCTATACCTTAAATTTTTTTTTTTAGGGTGGACATATATGAGGGGATCCGCCCATGTCGTAATCTATTTTATTTTTTCAATCATATGCATTTTTGTGAGCGTTCTTGTATTTATGTTCCTATAATAGACATGCAAGCTGGTAGATTCTAACTCTGACGGGAAGATAGATCCCATTGAATGGAAGGAATTTGTGACGAAAAATCCATCCCTGCTCAAGAATATGACTCTTCCATATTTGAAGTAAGCTGCCTTCATGTACTACTCAAGTTAAAGTTGATGATCAGTTTGATTTACCTTTTTACTAAAAAACATCTCATGAATAGCTTTATTTTCATTTTTCAATCGCTGAAAGAATTAGAAAAGTTGTTTTGAATGCTAGATACCTGCATTAAAAAGCATAATTGTGCATGTTCATTAATGAAAATTTTTACATGTTTTTCACTTTACGTCAATTTTTAATTTTATTGGTTTAACTACTAATCTGTTAACTTTTTTAAAGATGTCCCTTGTTTAGTTAATGTTAGCCTAGGGAGAACATTTAATTAGTGTTCTTTTTTAAATAACAAGTAAATTTTCCTTAATCATAAAATAACCCTTGCTCACAATGCAACTTGAATAAAATACTCAAAGATCAATCAGGAATGTAAGTATAATCGAGTTATGCCAGCGCTTTAACTTAAGCTTTCAAGCTAAACATTTTGAATAGATGTAACATGCTTTTTCATAAGTAATCATCAATTTATATCTTCCAGTATCTAAACTCATTATCATTGAATCGATCAATCCTCACCATCCCATCTTTGTATATCATTGCTCTCTCTTTTACGATAGAAGTCTAAAGCACGCAAGAAAAATGATGATCACGAGAATGTGAGAAATAATTTGCAAGAATCATTGAAAAGAAGAAGATGGGAGTTTATATGGTTCAGTGAGCTTTACATGTGTATCCACGGCTGTATAAACAGATATATGCCCACTAGTCCAATAAAAATCTGATACATATCCACGGCTGTATAGAGAGATAAATATCCACTAGTCCAAAGATATAAATATGATGCAAATTTTTACCCCCATATATTTTCACCTTTATCTCACTAGTATCCCCCTCTCTCTCTCTATCTCTCAATACACTTGCGAACTCAGCACTCAAGAGAATTGGCGATCATGAGAATGAGAAAAATAATCTGCAAGAAGAATTAAAAAAAAGGCAGGAGTTTATATGGTTAGGTGAGCTCTACATATATCCACGATTGCATAGAGAGAGATATGTCCACCAGTCCAATGATAAAAATATGATACATATCCACGACTGTATGGTGAGATAGTCCACTAGTTCACCCCCACCCCACCCCCCACCCCCCCACACTAGGTAAGCATGCTACTTCCAATGTTTGACCACTTTGTTAGCCGCCAATCTCTGTGGCAATCATTGATTTTCTTTTAGAATACCTTCGGATTCCAACAGTCACCGTTGACCTTTCAATGGTTATTATTGAGCACATTATAGATAAATCACACTATAAAATGCTAGCCAAGATAACTATCATCCTCGGATCACTCTATCGGCCACCTCTTTGACCTTTGTCTCTACACCTAGTTGAAATTAAAAGACAAATGAGTGAGGCATTTCAATATCATATATTCATCTCATTATATAATGTTTAGAAATGATAGGTAGGATGCTTGTAAATATTAGGTAAATGATGATACATAACATTTTTTTTTTTTTTATGTAACCCTCGAAGGGACCTACGCATTAAAAATAAAAAAGAGTACAAGACCTTAAAGGATAAAAAACTCTCTAGAAATACATCATTTGAAGCAAAACCTAAGGAGTTTATGATCCAAACTATTACAATAATCAAGAAAAAAAGGAACCATGGTGGAAAGAAATCAACCCTCAATATAAGAAACCAATCCAGACAAGCAATGAGGTACCCAAAGCCAATCAACAAAGAGCTAAAATAAGAACTGCCCAACCCACAAAGAGCCAGCAGCAACAAACACCCCGAGAAAAACTCCAACACTGGGACAAAAAGCACCAACAGGAAAAAGAACAAAAACAGCAGAAGAAACAAACCGCCATTAGCATCAGAATTTAGAAGGAACTTTTGTTCTTGTAGATCTACCTTCATAAATCTTAAAATCTTGCATCACATTTTTATTTTTATTTTTTTTCTATTTGTCTTGCCAACAACCTTTGTGAAATCATCATTACCAACTTGCACTACATTCATATCATAATCCTCATGAGAACCAATACAAACATCCTTGTTAGCCTCCCCTGAATCTCTGGCAGCCGACGAATCATATGGAATTAACCAGTCAGAGTGATCAACATAAGTAGAATACACAACCAATTGATACTTCCCCGCACCACCAGAAGTAGGAGAGCAAGTTATATTGATTAAATGCACTCTATTAGCAACATCCATACCATCAGGAACATCAACAAAAGGGGCTATATGATTAGTCCCCTATTTAGACAACTCAACAACAACACTAGTAACTGCATTAACCATGTTATCATTAGCCTTATGATTCAAAATATCATTATAGCTATGAAAGCATTGAGGGTTTTCAGAAGCAGCAATAAAAGGTGGCACATTAGAATTAGCCGCCTCCATCACACTTTTAGGCATAGCAATAGGTAAGGAGGAACCAAAAGACACCTGAATAAGTAATTCACCAGCAACATCAGAGACCGAAGCTAGAGGAGTTTCCTGAGGAATAACAGAGACAGGAACAAGAGGCGATATAGCCATGATATTACCAACATCCACATTATTTTCAGGAGAGATAGAGGTATGGCTATCAAAATCGGGACATGGGTCGGGTTCGGGTCCAACCCGAAACTGACCCGGCACTGTTTGACTCGAACCGTTTTTGCAAATGGATCAGTTTTTCGGACCCAAATCCGACCCGCTCAAGTTCGGGTCAACCCGAACCCGACCCGCATATTTTGATCGGAAGCAACGATGGGAGTTTGCTCCCTATGAGGGTAACTTTTTCTTTTTTAGCAACAATTTTCATTTTGCAATTTTAGGAAAAACTCTTAACGATCCAATGAACAGAATCATTTTTTCTGCTAATTTTTGTTCTAATTCAACTCATACAACAAAGACATACATAACTATATTGAAGTCAAGGAAACAAGTTTGAGATGCATTACAGCTTACCGCAGACATAGAGCAGGATCTTGCGGTCTTTGTCTTCCTTAAGTTATAGCATGTTATTGCATACACGACAGAACTTCAGGGTACTCATGGCTGCCCACAATTCGTTGTCGTCCTCGTCTCTGCATTCCGATGAACAATGGCTTCATACTTTAGAATCTATAAAACCCTCGTAGTTATAGCATCGAACAGACAGGCACATCACACCTCAGAAAGCTAAGCAGGGACTGCAAACGAGTGCAGTGAAGCTGCGAAAGTAGCTTTCTTTGTTTCATGCGCTTAGAGGTATCTAGGGTTTGCTTTGTATCTTCTCTTTTTCATCGTTGTTGTTCGACTTTGCTCGACGGACGACATTCCCTTCGGATTAGATAGGAAGTTACACCATTTTGATCGGAAGCAATGACTGGAGTTCGCTCGCTATGAAGCAACGATGAATGGCCAAATCCCGTAAATACGCTAAACTACAGTATTCTGGATCATTTCCGGGGTTTCTGAGTCAACCCGAACCCGACCTGGAATTCAAAACGAGTTGCAAATCAGGACCTAAATCCGACCCGTTTCGAGTTCAGGTTGACCCAAACCTGAAATTTTAGTATCTGATTCGAATCGAGTTTTTAGGTCTTGTCAAATATTGACACCCCTAGATAGAGGTGAACATGATAACTTTTAGTGATGTCAAGCTCAACTAATACCCGAGCAACTAAAGGATGCGAGCTGATAGACGTTGCATTATCATTGCGTAGAGGGCGACCAGATAAGGAACCCAACCTGTACAGAATATGGGGAGAAAATATATGAGGTCGTAACTTTGGAAAGGAAATCCATATGGGGATAATTGAGAATTCCTCAGCTATATCAAAATTAGGGGTCCATTTAATTAATTTCATGAAGCAATTATTGACAAAATAAGATATATGGGCAAAAATATGGCAGTAATCCATGTCATTTGTTAGTTTAATCAAAACATGCCTTGAATCTAAAATGGTAATTGAAAAATCGGCGATAAGTTTTAGGTTGAAGAAAAACTTGTGAATCAAAACCAAAGAATCTCTACGATTAGGAAGTTTGCCCACTAATGAAAATTCCAAAAGTGCAGCGAGAGCCAAAATTTCATCTTCAGATATCTAGAGCGATGGCAAATCATGAAAAGTGGTCGATTTAAGAGCCAGAAAAGAAACTAAAGAGGAGTTTGTTAGGGCATCAACAAACGATTTAGAGTTACAAATGCCGCTAAGGAAGTTAGGGTCCCTTAGACGCACTTGATTAACCGCCATCCGAAGAAGAGGTGGAAAGTCAAGGGTGGAAGAAAAAACGGCCTCGTCTGAGAGAAAAAAATGCAAATGAAAGAGAAAGCAAGGTAGAAGACTTCCCTAATCCAGACCCAGGTGAGGCGGAGATCCAACCCCTAATCCAGACCCAGGCGAGGCGAAAATCTACTTCAATAGCAGTGGCCGCTGCTAGGGCTTCAGAGTCTTTCGCACCAGATCTTCGGTTATTTTTTTCATGTTTTTGGTAGGTAACATAATTATAAAAATTAGGCAAAAGGTGATAAGTAACAAAATTGAAGGAGCTAAGTAGAAAGTCGTGGGTGAGAAACTTATATGAGTTACGAAGAAAAATTTATCTCTGCATCTTATCATTGTATTAATTTCTCCTTATTGATCTTAATTTTATATATCTTGTGTCATTGAACAAAATTTTCCTGCAATCACAAAAGAGCTACAGGAGCATCCATCTTAACTTAGCTGGGTCAAGCATTCCTGTTCAGCAATTTCCTTAAGACATACATATAACTATAAGAAGGAACATACAAAATTACTTTTAAAAGGCACAATTAAGAGCATGAAGTATGCTGTTAAGGGTTTATAAGCAACCTAACTCTCACATTGGTGATTGCTGAAAAGCTTTCTTTATTATTTGAACTTATGGACCTTCAGATTAGAATGGACTCAAACAAATCATGACAGGAGGTCCCAAAAGTATTACAATGGAGTCTTATCTCTTCTATTTCTATTTTCATTTCTTTTTTCCAACTTTAATCCTTATTTTTTTGTTGAATGAAAGAGTAACAAACTCCTCTTGTTAATTTTTCATTGTATCAGGGATATAACAATGGCATTTCCCAGCTTTGTAATGAGCTCTGAAGCTGATGATGAAGTGTTAGATTAACTAGCAAGTGATAATGCTCTTGTTCTTCTCAATTTGTTAGCTGATTTCTTCTAATCTTTTTGGTAAGAGTGGATGGATTACTCAAAACCAGAAGGCTCTTAATCCCTTCAGAGCAGTTTTTGTTGTTCAATACAAGTAGCATAGTATGTTGATCTTCTACTGATGAAATATATAAGTCTGTATTGTGATACTGAACTATTTTGGTCTCTTTTCTTGTAAAGATAGGAGGATGAGATGGAATCTCTCTTTGAATTTTGGTATATATGTAGGGAAGCTTTGATCAATTAATGTATCAGCATATGATTGGCTAAGGCTTTATTAAGGCCAGCTTCATGTGCTTAAACACTTCATGACTTTATTATCATTATTAAGGCTTCATTTGGGACAGCTTTTTTATTGCTTCCAAAAATAGGTTTTTAGTTGATTTTTTTTTTATGAAAAAATTGCTTTAAAAATCAGTTAAAAAGTCTTTTCAAATGATGGTTAAGTCTGTCTTTAATGCATGTCATTGATATTTTATTTTTAAAAAATAAATTTTATTTTTATATAAATATTATTTATTTTAAAAAATGCTATAATTATATTTGGAAATAAAATGATAATTGTTGAAATAGAAATGATTGAATTTATTGAATGCTGAATCATTTTAATGAACTTTGAATATCACTCTTTAAAAAAAAAATTCAATATAATGTGAATTAAATAAATTTTAATATTTAAAAGGGTTAAGCAAATTTAAATGTTTTAAAATAAATTTAAATGAAAATTTATGATTTTTAAAGAGTTGTATGTCATTGATATGTCATAACAATCTTGTTGATATGATAAGAATCTAGATATTTATTTAAATTAAAAGTTTTATAATTATATTTAGAACTTTTCAAATTTTAATTTTAGAAAATTTATAGCTAAACAAAATGTCTCGATAATACAAACTCATTGATAATAAAATAAACCTGATTTAAGACCAATTGAGCTCCACATATAGTATTTGAAGTGCAATTAGAATTTTAGAATATTAATTGGATGAAGAAAAAATATTTAAAGTTCGCATATTTATAGCCAACTCAAGCTTTTCATTGTCATGAATCCGACAAGCCTAAAATAATCTACTTATGACATCATTAAGATACTTAATGTTAAAAGAGGCTTGGACCTGATCTTGAGATTCAACAAGCTCAAAGATTTGAAGAATCACATAGCTCTACTTGAGTACCACCGTTTGACCACCATCGTCAAATCACCGACCAATTTCTCCCTTTAGTTCGATCAGACCATAACCATACCAGCATCATTGAACTACGATCAAATCTCCAAAACTTAAAAATAGGCTTCCTTGCATCATTATTAGACTATAATCCTCTAACCTTCATTGCCTCGTTCAATGAAAACATATCTTTGCCTATGAACACTTTGCTACTCCAATTCAAATCCCCAATACTCTTCAAAATTTCATCATTTTTCTTATTATGGTTTAGAATAACACAACCTGTAAGATAATATAAACCTAATTTTTATGCATTATTTCTTTTAAGAAATAACATGAACACTTTCTCAAGTCTTCATTCTAAAAAAATATCTCCATCTAAGTTTTTATCATTCAACCTATTATTCCTCTCCATAAATTCCTCCTTTGATAAAAATTCTCTAATTCTCAACCTAGTAATAAAAGATAAGAGCTTCATTTGGGGCCTTATTAGCATAAGAATAAGCAAGATACAATAGATAAAAGATGAAAGAGAAAGGGAACTTAGTCTTTATTTGGGACGGTATTCTTACTGCTTCTTAAAGCAACTTTTTAGTACAAAAATTTTAATTTTTGTAATTTTTATACTAAAAAGCTGCTTGAAGAATCAATAAGAAAGTAGTCCCAAACGAAACCTTAAAGGGAAGCTTTAATATTTAACTAGATTGTTAAAAGAAAATATAAGCTTATGTAATTTAAGTAATCTAATATACATCAAAAATGTCTTAGGCTCATCATCTAACCTCCTATTTATATTTATGTCAAGATTCAATGCAACATTAAAATATTAAATCAACTATAAATTTCAACAATGTTTAAGATTCAACTTTTTTAATGCTTTATACAGTAATTTTTTAGTACAAAAATTTTAAAAACTAAAAAATTTGTATTAGAAAGTTTCGTTTGAAAATAATAAGAAAGTTGTTCCATTCTTTTTGGGACAGTTTTCTTACTATTTTATGAAGCAGCTTTCTAGTAAAAAAATTTTAAATTCAAAAAAATCATATACTAAAAAACTGTTTCATAAAGCAATAAGAAACTGTCCCAAATGAAATCTAAATCTAACTAAAATAAGACACATATGTGAACAATTTGATAAAATTGTCTAAATTCTGTGGTTCTTCTATCAAAATATACTTTCAAGTTCTTTTTGTATTGGAACGGCTAATTTGACTTTACCTGCTTAGATGTTGATGCAGTAATATCCAATTTAAATTTGTTGTCAGCAAAGCTTGCCTAACCTCATGAAGACCTAGTTTTTTTTTTTTTTATTTATTTTTAATTAATTATTTGTCGACTTACCTGAAGAACTCATTCATTCCCTTTATTATTTTAATTTCTCTTTTTTTTAATTTTTCACTAGTAGTTTATTTGGTCAATTTTATCTTTTTTATTTTATTTTATTTTTAATTCTTTAATTTTCTTTTAATTCTTTATTTGGCTGCTATGTTGTATATAATGGGATAAAACAAATTACTAAGCTAGCATTGTCATCTTTTTATCTTGGATTATTATTATTATTATTAATTAGATAATTATTTTCATCACTCTATCTTAATAATTTTTTCTTTTTTTATCTACTCAAAATTTTGCTCTCTCAAGATTTTCTCATAAATCCATTGACTATGTAGAGAAAAGTTTTTTTTTTTTTTAATTCATGGAAATAAAGGCTTGTGTTTAGAAGGAAAATATATTAAAAATTTTAAAGTTTTGAGTGGTATTATAATTATTTCATCAATAAATATTTTAATGAAATTTTACATATTAAGCAAATGTTCAATAATTAAATAAGTAGTATTTTTATTTTTTATTGAATAATATGTTGGAGTGCTATGCTAATTGGTTTGATTTGCATGAGAAAAATGTGTGCTATAGTTATATTAAAATTAATTGAGTAATTAAGAAATTTTTTATTACTAAACTTATAAATATTAAATTTATATATTTATGTATTGATCATATGGATGCTTACACAACTAATATTTAAAGAGATATATATTAATTTATGTTTTTGGCCAATGATATAATAGTTCCAAAATAATGTTGGACGGTTAAAAATAAGAAGAATAAAATAAAATAAGTTGCATGATGATATCCTAATTGACCAAAATATAATCAGGATAGAGCTCAAAGCCTGTAGATCTATTTTGAAATTTATATAGTATTTATTATGGATATATTACACTAATCTTAAAGCATATTCATGGGTGTTTTTTATTTGGATATACTTGATATATCATCAAAAAATTATCTTGATTGGGCACGAATCTCAAGGCAAAATCAAGTTAGAAACTTTAAAAAATAAATCGGAGCATATGAACTCCAATTTAAAAAAACTTATAGTCGTACTGAATGTCTCGAAAATACAAACCCAACGACACCAAAATTCAACTCAATCCGAGCCCAAATGAGTCCAAATCAAAGACACGAAGTGCATGTAGAAGGCTCAATCCATAATTTGAATCACCAAACAGTTTTCAAACTTTACATGCATATTTGAATCGAGCGGCTCAACGAAACAAATTCAACGAGCCCAAGATGGTTAAATTATGATATCATTAAAATATTCAAATGTCCAGTCCATTGATCAAGGGAATCAACATCGACCATCCATTCAAACCACTCTCAATTTACCCTTAACATTCCTCTTATTTATTGGCCACGCAAATCTCAGAAAACTATAAATATACCCCTTATTTCTCATAAGAGGGGATCCAAACAAGAAGAGAATGATGAGTAGGATGAGAGCTCTCTTACCACCAGACTCCTCCTCGACAACCGCTGGACTTCCACCCGGCAGTCGACCGACGTCGTACTTATGCCCGACCGCCAATTGACGTCGAACTTTTGCTCGACCGCCAATTGATATCGGACTTCTACTCGACCGCTGACTGACGCCGGACTTTTGCCTGATTGCCGACTAACGCCAGATTTCCGCGAAATCGTCAATTAAAGACGGATTTATGTCAAATCGTTAATTAAAGCCGGATTTCCGCCTGACCACTAAACATCGTCGGATTTCCGATCTCTACTCGTAATTGTATTTGAACCCGACGGTTGATTATTGTAATATGATCGTCCTCAATTTCATGGACAAGTTAGTCACTTGTAATCGAATCAAACACTAGTGGAATCATATCAACTATGTGTAGCTCTGTGGTTTTACATTTTTTCAGTATTTTCAACCTAAAAATTATGGTGTTCCTTTTTTCTTTTATTTGTGTGCTAGATATACGTACAATGCTGAGACGAAAATTTCTAACTCTATCGCCGCGTATATTCTAATCTGCAACAATGATAATCGATTTTTTTGGTGTAGAATTAAATGATTTTGATTTAAATGAGAATTTGACTCTTAATAGAGAGAAATTATTATATGTGGAATCCGAATGTGAGAACCTTCTGAATTCTTTGAGGGTATACAGAAAAAAAAAATATTTATTTAATGTATACCCTCACAAAATCTGGACAGTTTTCTCATCCGAACTCCGTAAGTAATAATCTCTCCTTAATAAGACACAATAGAGAAAAAAGATTCATGTAGCCGACCTATGTAATGGAATAAAGACTTCTTATTATTGTTCTGATAGAATGAAATTAATTCAATAATTTTCTGTTGAGAGTGATCATTAAATTTAAAAATGAGTGCCAGCTAGCTTAATATGTAATAATATATTAAATTTATATTTTTGAGCGCAAAGTTTTTTTCCAAAAATAATTAATAAAACAGTTAATGGCATTTGTGGATATAATTTGGATTAACGCAGTCGAGCTTATCTCGGCCATTTGTGGCACTATTCTCTTGGACGGATGGGCAGGAGAAATGTTGTTGTGAAGCAGGACGGAAGAACAGCAACTCAGTTCGGTCAGAAGTTCGGAGACGAAGCCGATGGACGAGAAGAGGACAACTGAAACCCTAAATAAATTCAATCCTTACCCCATTAATCGCACCGAACCTCTATATTTATTGCCCGCTATAAGCTCACTCGTCCCTTTGCTCCATCGCTCGATTCTTTCTTTCGGTAAGAATCCAATTCTCTTTTCATTCAGTTCAGTCCATTTGTCACCCTTCTCTTTTTTTGAACTGTTTGAATCCTTCTGAACTCGTTTGAGTAATCGAATTGATGTAATTTGTGAAAAAGCCGCGTTTTTTCGTTCGAAATTGATTTCAAACTTTGATTTTACTGTTTTTTTTTTTGTTAGGATTTGAGCATCGAACTAGTTGATGGTTTTTGAATTGTAAGAGGAGGTCGCCCTCGTTTGCTTCTTTTGCCGCCGGAGGCGTTCCCTGCGAGTGAGAGGCAGCCGAGGGCCAGCCGAGGGTTCTAATTGGAGGAGAGCAATGTCGTCGGCTGCGATAGCTCTCAATCCAATTGGGGAGGATTTATCTCTTTCCTCCTTCAAACGGTCGGCTCACTGCTCCCCAGAGCCGATCCTCGTCTACCTTGCGGTACCTGGTTCGTCCGTGATCCCAATGCCAGTCTTCGAATCAGACTCCATTTCCTCGGTTAAGCTGCGCATCCAAAGATGCGGGGGCTTCATGTTCAAGAAGCAGAAACTGGTCTTCGATGGTCGGGAGCTTTCAAGGAACGACTGCCTTGTAAGGGACTACGGCGTTTCTGACGGAAACTTGCTTCACCTCGTCATCCTCCTTTCTGATCTTGGATTTGTTACAGTGAAGACTGTGTGCGGAAAAAAATTTAAATTTCATATTGAAAGAAACCGCACGGTCTCCTATGTCAAGCAACATATTGCCAGGAGGGGCAAGGATCTTGTTGATCTAGAGAACCACAAGCTTTGCCATGATGGCAAGGAGCTTGATGATCATTTGATGATTCAGGATATCTGTAGCTATAATGATGCTGTGATCCATTTGATTGTGCGCAAGTGTGCTAAAGTCAGGACTCAACCGATTGACAAGGCCTTAAATCTTTCAATATTAGCTCCAACTGCAACTGATAAGGAAGAATGCAAGAAACCATTGAAAAGGGAGGTTTGGATTGAGCCATTTGCTGTCAACCCTAAGATTATATTATCACCAGTAATCAAGAAACTTATTCAATCTGCATTGGCTGGACTAAAGAAGGGGAATCCTCCTGTCATGTCCTCTGAAGGTACAGGCGGTGCATATTTTATGCAAGATGTTTCAGGGAAAGAATTTGTGGCTGTTTTTAAGCCAATTGATGAGGAGCCAATGGCAGAGAACAACCCAAGGGGGCTTCCCCTATCATTGGATGGAATTGGATTGAAGAAGGGAACACGAGTTGGGGAGGGGGCACTTAGGGAAGTTGCAGCTTATTTGCTCGACCATCCGATTAGTGGGCGTCGAACATCAATGTGTGATGAGTTTGGTTTCTCTGGTGTTCCTCCAACAATAATGGTTCAGTGCCTTAGTGATTGTTTTAATCATTCAAAACAATTTGATCGTGCTACGCCGGATTTCAAGGTTGGGTCAATGCAGATGTATGTGAAGAATTGTGGGAGTTGTGAAGATATGAGCCCAAGAGCTTTTCCTGTGGAGGAGATTCATAAGATCACTGTGTTAGATATAAGATTGGCTAATGCAGATAGGCATGGTGGGAATATTTTGTTTTGCAAAGAGGGAGAAGAAGGGAGAATTGTGCTGGTCCCCATCGATCATGGGTATTGCCTTCCTGAGGATGTAAGTTTACAATTTTTGATATTTTTCCTTATATTATTGATTTAATTTGGATATTAACACATATTTCATGGCATTTTAGCTTATGTCATTTTAGGTGATGAACATCATTGAGTTCATAGGTTATTATCTTTTAATCATCTATTTTTTTAATTTTTTTTAATTCTGTAATTTATATTAGTGGTTTCATCTTAAAATTTGTAAAATTCCAATTAAGCCAGCTATGTGTATGGGTCTGAGTTTTGCTGGTAAGAAGTCATTGAAAGTTAAATTGAGTTCGAAAAAATTGTGATTGATGAATGTGTAATAAAAGTTGGATTGCTAGATTGCAAAATGAATTTTTATTGAGAGGAGAGAGCTTTTCGTTATTTAAAAGAGAAACCCTTCTATTATAGTGGAGGAATCAATATAATGTGCATGTAGAATGAAATAAGCTCACTCCACTAACTCTATTGGGAGTTTTCTAAAATAATATTTTTTATACTAACACTTCCCCTCATAATTTTGGTTATATATATTAACTAATTAGCTCCAACATATTTCGTAGCTTAGAAAACTAAATATGACCCAAATTGCTTCGGTAATATTTTCTACAAATTGTTTTGGGTTGGAGATATGAGTAACAATCTTCTTTGATAGCACCTCATCTAAATAAATTGATTATTAACCTCAATAAATTTCGTTCTTTTATGGAACGTGAGATTATTGATGACACATATGGTTGCAAGATTGACAAATTTTAATACCTTGTTATGTAACATAAAATTAAATTCTTTATGAGGGTCTTAATCAACTTCATTTCATATATAGAGCGTGTTATGGCTACGTATTCTATTTTAGCTTTCAATATGCCCACCACTATTTTTTCTTATTTTTTTATATGACTAAATTATCTTCCATAAATGTGCATTCCCCATATATGGATTTTATTACTTTTCCCTATGACCAGATTATCTTCCATGCATATGTGATTTTATTATTATTATTTGATCTATTATGCTTGGCATTAAAAAAGAAAATCTACATTAAGATGTTCATTTTTCAATGGATTTTAATCATTCTCCTCTTTGAAGTTTGCATATGTTGACTCACATTCCTTACAACAAAGAAGATATCTTGTTCCAAGAAATTTTTTTCTTATTTTACCCAACCCAATCTTTGATTAGAAAATACCTTTTTAGTAGTATTTTACTTCAGAAACCCCTTTTTTATCACTTCCTATAAGGAGAATGTCATTTACATTAAAAACCAAGATAATGGAGCCAAATGAGATGTTTTTGACAAAGATGGCATGACCTCTACTGTTGCTATAAAAACTAGCCCGAGTAAGAAATTTGTAAAGCTTGTAAAATCGAACCGAAGGATTTTACTTCAAGTCCATAAATAGCCTTGTTGAGCGTACATCCTCTAGTTACCCCCTGAGTAAAATACCCTGGCAATTGCTTAATATAAATAGCTCTAGTTAGATTTCCATAGTGGAAGGCATTACTACATTCATCTGTAACAAAACTTAAAAAACCAATGCTCCATATAAATAGCTCTAGTTAGATCTCCATAGAGGAAGGCATTACTACATCCTCAGTAAGAAATTTTCCAAACTTATAAAACCAAGCCTAAGGATTTTACTTTAGTCCACGGATGGACTTGTTAAGCTTACATGCTCTAGAAGGAAACAAACAGTTTGTGTGCCTGTTGCTTTTAAGTTTTTTATAACAACAACATCAAGCCTTTGTTCAACTACATAGGGTCGGCTACATAAATCCTTTTACTGTTTTGTGTTATGTTAAAAGTCAAATTTCATTTAAATCTAATAAGGAAAGATCATTTATAATATTCTCTAACCAAGTCTTTTTAGGTCTACCTCTACCTTTCTTAACATAAGTCAAATTTAATACCTCTATTCTCCTAGCCGGGTTACCGGAAGGCCGCCGTTTTATGTGACCAAACCATCTAAGGCGACTCTTTCTAATCTTATCTTCCACTGGAGCTGCACCAACCTTTTCAGGAATATGCTCATTTCGTATCCTATCTTTAAGAGTAAAGCCACTCATCCACCTCTTGCTTTTAAGTTTTCTAATTTACATAAAAAAAAAAACTTGGCTCTCATTTTTATTTGTCTTCAAAAAATTTTTTTTTTTCCCCTTCTCGTAGTTATCATGTTACCCTCAAAGAATGAATTTGTTTGCATTTCTTGTAGTTTGAGGACTGCACATTTGAATGGCTTCACTGGCCTCAAGCCCGTATACCTTACAATGCTGAAACCGTCGAGTACATAAAATCACTAAACGTAGAAGAAGACATCGAGCTTCTCAGGTTTAATGGTTGGGAGTTGTCATCTCTTTGCGCTCGAACTCTTCGAATTTGTACCATTCTTCTCAAAAAAGGTGCAGAAAGAAGCCTTTCTCCTTATGAGATTGGAAGAGTCCTCTGCAGGGAAACACTCAAGAAAGAATCAAAGATCGAAGGCATGATCCGCAAAGCAAAGGAAGCCATTCTTCCTGAGACTTGTGAGGCTGCTTTCATGGAATCCATCTCTCAACTTATGGACCGTTATCTTGATGAGCTTGCTGAATGATCAAATTATGATTTATATAAATAGATAGATAGATATTCATATATATATTAACTAGATATTTGCGAGGCATTTTGTTATTGATATATGGGCATAAGGTCTTTATCTACTGCCCCTTCTTCCCCTCTGTTTAGGTTAATTTGGTCATGCAATGACCGGAACTTAAGAGGGGGGAGGTTCTTGTGCTGCTGAGCTGCAGTTCTTATCAGTTAGCTTTTTCTTTCTTCTGTTTTCTGAACAATTTTTTGTTCTGGGAGAGGATGGAAATGAGCTCAAGATCCTTGTAATTTTTCTCATTTTGGTGGTGCTTTTGGCAAGTAGAATAAATTGGGATCATTTTATTTCCCATATGTATACTTTTGCAGACTATTTTGAGTTATATGAGATCTGGTGATGCTTTTTTTTGGTAATTGTGATCAGAAGCATATCCTGGAAGGTTGGACCTCTCCTAAACAGGAGAGATTATTCTGTGCGGACACCGGATCGTTCGGAGGCGAATCAGAGCGCGTCATAACACCCGGTAGACATCATTACACAGCCGCGGTACATAGAAAAAGAGTGATGTGACGCGCTCTAATTCGACTCCGGACGGCATCCAATGTTCGGACTGAATAATTTTTTCCTAAATAGTTAGTTATACCTTGTGAGACACCCAGCTCTTTTTGCTAGGGTTAATTTAGATAGAAATTTTATCTATATAGTATAATCATTTTTAATATTTTTATTTTATTTTTTGTGCATTGATATATTACAATAAATACTGATACATGTGAGGATAGATTAATTCTCCCTGTTTATAATATATTTTAAAAATATTTTTATTATTTATAATATTTTAAATTTATTATTTTCTTTGCAAAAATACCATACTAGGCAGAGTTTTACACAAACAACCTTCTAAAAAAAGAAAAATACTGAAATTGCATTATCAACATTGATCTTATTACATGGTATTGTATATTTTAATACATTATTATTGATCTAATTAATTTTTTAACAGTTGTAATAAATAGTATTGCTTAATAAATAATAATACTATCGTGATAAATGAAATTATATTAGTTCCTTTTATAATGCTTGAATCTCAATTAATTTTCCAAATGATAAATTCTCACCATCAAGATTAAAATAATAATGCAAAAAATAATTAAATAATTAATGGTAACATTTTATATATATTTATACACTATATAAAAGTGGCTTGAAATTTCACCCTTAGCAAATTCTGATCGTTCATTTATAAATTTTAAATTAATCTGAAATATTGATTTATTACTCTTCAAATTCTTTAATTATAACGCACTTTATTAACTTCTTCGTGCGTTTCATTTCTTTATATGTTTCGAGTTTGTTGTTGTTAAATCTTCTAAACGTTTTAATTTCCCATCCGTTTCATTTTCCCATTATTAACCTATTCACGCGAACGCGAAAGATGATACGACGGCTACTACCTTCCCCTATTCTTCTTCTCATTCTTCTTGGCTCTTCCTCCTCTTCGTTTCTTCGTGTGAAAGGTGAGGCGTCGGGGCTCCTCTTTCCTATTATTCTTTCAAAAACTCGGTGGTGTTACCTTCCCACTCATGAACTCCCGCATTCGTTGGTTGTCTTTATGAATTTTCTCTTTTTTTTGCAGCAGCAAAGCTCGGTGGGGGAATGCAGTGGGAGATCGTTGGTTGTCTTTTTGGATTTTCTGTTTTTTGCAGCAGGAGAGCTCGGTGGGGGAAAGCGGGAGAGGTCTAAAGTAGTTCTTCTATTTCAGGAGTTAGATAAGGTAGCTGATTTTAGTAATACAATAATTTTCTATTTGTAGATTGAATTGATTTCTAATTGATGAAATATTTGACAAAATTTCAATCTGTTTACTAGAATTTTCTGGAATGTAATAATGATTTGTGATTTTTTATTGTAAGAATATAATTGATTGTTTCTGAGCTTCTCGTTTTCCCGTTATTCCTTTCGCTGGTGGGTTATGCTTCTTGGTAGAGATCCTTTGAGTATTGAATGTTGCGTGCCTTCTCTTAGGAAAGGAATGTGGACTTGATGAAAAATATTGGAATGTCTACATGCAAGTTGTCCATCTCCTGGTTACAGATGTTACCAAGTAAAAAATTATAAATATTTTATTTTCTTTTTCCTTCAGTATTGTTGCATGCGTTTAGTGGGCCTGACATGCTCTACTTGGTAGATGGAAGCAGAGATATCAATCCAGAATGAATTGCATACTACAACGACTTAATAGATGATGTCAAATTTCTTTTTATTGGTCAGTTTGGTATTTAGTTATTGACAATTTATATTCTTTTAGCATTTTTTCAATTCAGCATTAACCCAGTTCCATCTAATCCAATTCGATTTTATCAACTTGGTAATGTTGACTTTCATTGCAAACTTCAAGCCACTGAAAATGGGTGCCTCAAGTGGCACTACTGTACAAATACAGTCGACATCACTGTTTGGCGCATGAAACATTCTTGACGTAAGCATGCTTTCTATGGAGAACACTCATGTGTTTAGGATAGAGCTAATGACAGGCCAAAAATGAAGACTGCTATAGTGATGTTGGATGGAGTAAATATGGCTCATCCAATGCCAAGACAGCCTACTTTTGTGTTTGAGAGAAGCATGTGAGACTGTATCAACTATTCAGAGATTCATCTCTGGAAATTCATTAATGATCGCTGTGGTATCAGGTCGATAGTTTTAAGTTCATAAGTTTAATCACATTCTTCAGAGATCATCTGCAAAGTAGAATTATGCGTATCCTTATTGTATTTGCATGAAAAAAAAATTATTTCTTAAAGAAACAAATATAGTTATAGACATCTTAATCTTAGTTCAGAATTCATTGCAAGGTGAAGCAGGTTCAGTTTATGCTTTTTGAAAGTATTTATCATATATATGGGATCTTTGTTAGTCTATTTATGGCAGTTTATGCTTTTTGAAAGTATTTATCATATATATGGGATCTTTGTTAGTCTATTTATGGTAATCATATAAGACTTTATTTTTTGAGAAATTACATGTTCCCTAATATATAATAGTGTTTGATTATAATGATATTAGTCCAAAGTTTTGATGCTATTAAGATAGAAATGTTGCATGTTCATTCTTATGGAATGTCTACAAACTGTTCAGACAATAACAGAGCTATGGCATGGATTCTATAGATGAAAGAACAAGCGAAAGTTAAGTATGAGAGAATTTTGTGCTCTATATATTCTAGCAACAGGAGATTTTTTTTTTTTTTTCCAAAAATATTATTGATAAGTTAGGTTTTTTTTAAGCATAGTTTATATATATATAAGCGGAAAAATTAAAATCTATATTTCTTCGCTTTGATATAAAGCAATGGAAAATAATTATCGTTGATAATTGATAATTTTTAACTATTCACACTTTTCTTAGTACATCAATTTTTAAACTGCAAGCTTATATTATTTGTTACATTTAATTAATGTACATATAAATTACACCAATACTTATGTAGTAAGTATCATTATCATTATCTATTAATGCGTCTATTTGAAAATTCATCATTAATGTTTGTTATTTAAAGCTAATATTATAAAAAATTATTTAAAATATTATTTAATATTGTAAAAACTAATGAAGATAAAATTTTTTATTTATATGTTATAAATATAATGATTTTATCTTATTTATTTATTTTGAATTATTATCTTCTTATGATAAAATTATAAAATTTTAAGGATGAGCACTTATTAAATGTGCATTTTTATTATTTTCTTATTAATTTTAAAAATTATAGCTATATGCACTAATTGCATGTTCATTATATTAATATAAAATTTAATACAATTGTTATAGCATGTCATAAATTAATTTTAAATTTTGATTATATATTCCTTATTTTTTAAAATTTTATTAACGTGCACCATGTACACGTGTATTTATACTAGTTATAACAAAACACGTATATATATCTTTATTTTTTGGAAAAAAAAAAAATCGTTCCTGATAAAACATTTCAAAGATCACCAATAAAGGAAACTTTTTTTGTTTCTTAGAAGTGAATGTTTTCACCTTTAAAATTTTTTTCTTTGAACAAGCAAAAAAATTTAAGAAAAATAAAACAAAAAGACGGTAAAATTACAAAAAAATAGTAGGGATGATACCAAATTTAATTTTAAAAATTTCTAATTCAAATGTGCCTTGAGATTCGTGCCTAATTAATATGATTTTTGGTCTATAAATGTGACTTGTGATTCTTCTCATAAAATTTTTTGATCTTATATTTATAAAGTTAAAATAAATCTATAACATTCATTTTAGACTCTTCATATTCAATTGCTTCTAGATTCCAACAGCCAAGCATATTAAAGTTTTATTTAGGAAGATTTTCTTACTATTTTTAAAATAATTTTTTAATAGAAAAAAAATTTATGCTTAAAATATTATTATAAAAAAAAAAAAAACGGTTCCAAATAGAACCTCGGTTTCATTGGACGAGGGGTTCCCAAACCGCTGAGCGTTTTCACTCGGCAGCGGCCGAACGGTTAGCCTTCACAGCTGAGCGTTTCACTGCCGAGTTAAAAAAAAAAAACAAAAATTTAGGGTTCAATCCCCAACGGTCCTCTCTCTCGCCGAACCCATCAACCCAGCACTCGCCTCCAAGGCTCCATCGCCGTACTTCGCATTTCATGTAAGGTCGCCGAACCATCTCAAATTTCGCAGTTGATTGTTTTGTTTGTGGTCAAAGATCCGTAAGGAGTTATCTGATTGCTCGGTCTTTTTGGTGAAATTTGTATTTGTTTAGATGGTGTGGAGAGCAGGGCATGCGATTGTTTACTGATTAAGGATTAGTGTTCCTTCAGCTCTTTGTGAAAGTAGTTTTTGGATGGGTAAATTGGGCCATATTAAATTGAGAAATTTGGTAGATTTTAGGGGTTTAAGATTAGTGAAGTGTTCTGTTTGCAGAACAAGGCAGATTCAGTTAAAAAACAATACATTTATGGAGAATATTAATTGTGGTAGTGAAAATTTGGTGTTTGCGTTTCTAGAATAGTTATTGAGGCAGTGTAGATAAGAGAGCAAGTTGGATTGAATATGCGCTTGTTTGCATTCTGAAGTTTCTTGATTTATAAAATATCTAATTGGCATAACTGAATTCCTAATTTTGGAAGGTAAGTTTGATATAGAAAGGTAAAACTTATGTGCGATGAAATAAAATGATGCTATGATATATAGAAAGTTTATTATCCTGCTTTTTTGATTTGTCTGTTCTAAGATATATATGTCTTAAATTTGTGCTAAACGAACTTTAATGCTTAATTTTGAAGGAAAAAGTTAAAACATAACAAGAAAATATTATCATATTATAATCAATATGGAAAGTTTGTTGTCAAAGAACAATAAAGTTTTAAATGCATAAATATTTTGGTGAAAATGTTTTGCTTGTTTTGATAGATTTCATAGAGGGCAGATGTTAGCTCTTTCTGATTCTAGGGTTTGGAGGTGTAATTGAATAATGATTCAAGATTTAATGACTTTTAGATTCATGAACTGTATCACGTGTTGAAGTTGCTATTTTGTATTCAGGAAGACTTGTGCTGAAGAGAAAATTAGTTTGTCGAAGATGGTAAGCACCATATATGTAGAATGTGTAATGTGGAAATTCAAAATTTATTAGTTTCAAAACAATGATTGTGTGACGTAGTACAGATCAAGTTGGTCTGAATACATAAATGTATAGAAAACTATTTGACCTGAAATGTTTAGCTAATGCTACAAAGGTGCCCTTGCTTTACTTGCAAAAGCTCCTTAGTCCTTATTTTAGAGAATATGTTACTAACTAAGCTGAACTCATATTTCAGGAAAATAAGTTTGATATCAAAAGGGAAAATATATATGGATTGTGAAGTTTTGTCATCCTTATCTTAGCTGCTTGGTTTGGTTATTCTAAGATATTTATGATCATATTTTATGCTAAACAAACTATGCTAAGTAATTTAGGAAGAAAAATAAGGCCATAAGATGCCATAACATGAAAATAGTGCTATGAATAGTCAATACAAAAAGGTTTGAATGCTAAATTTAGCTATATATATAATGAGGCACAATCACTGTTCCCATGTAGTGTGATATTGTAGGGAATCAACTATTAGCCCATGACAAAAATAAACTTTTGAACACCAATTATGTTGTTCGGTGAATTGATTGCTAGTTTTTCTTGTTAGCCCTTTTGTTGTTGTGTTTGTTTTTTCTCACCTCATTCTTCATACCTTCATATCTTAAAAGAAGCAATATGGTATTATGATTTACTTTTGTTCCACTGCAGTATGATCAATCTAAATAATAGTATTTGTAGATATTTCATAAACCCCTCACCTCCCAATTGCACCCTCAACATGTCCCAACTTCTTAATGCACATAATTATAAAAAGGGAAACTCTTATTCCCCTAAGATAAAATGCATAAAAAGACTAAGAGCATTACAAAATCTTTTTGCTATTGTGTCTCATTCAACTCAATTAAGCATTATGTCAATTTAAGTGCTGCTACTTGTTATTTTTTTCAATATGTATCTAGAGTTAAATTTTTACTCCTTGTTCTTTTTAAAAATATTTTGAACTCTATAAAGAAGTAATTCTAGGTAAACCTATTCTTTTAACATCTCTAGGAATTGCAGAAGGTTCTTAAACAAACCAATGTGTGGTCTCCCATACTCACTTTTATTGATCACTAGCATACTTTGGAAAGTTTAATTTTATTATTGTGTTCTTTGCAAATGCAAGATATTTTTTGTTTTCATCTCCACTCATAATTTCAATTTCAATTTCAATTTTTTTTTATAAAATATAAGCTTATTGTCATAAAAAAATTTGATAATGTTGATCTACCAAACTCACTTTTAATGATCACATGAATACTTTGAAAGGTTTAATGGTTTATTTATTAGCATAAGTCCATTAATAATAGCAAATGTCTTAGATGACATGATTTTGTGCAATATGTTGTCTATTCCTTTATCCATGTGTAGATTTAACTACTTGATATCAACAAATTTTTATTCTTTTTCTCTTTTCCTAATAATTTCTTATTATCATTGTTATCTTGATTTGAATATTCTTTCTCTATATGAAATGATATATCCTAATATGTCAATTAAATTGTTTTATTTAATTAATCATGATAGGAATTTGTTTTTTTTTTACTAATACATGCAATATTAGTTCATATTGCATATGTCTGTGTTTGAACAAGATGACCGACCCTTAATGTCTGTGAGTTTGTCATCTATTATAATAATTTCATTTGTTCTAAAAAAAGTTGCCTAAACTAAGATTTCTATTTGAATGTTAGTCATTCGTGTTTGTTTTTTAATTCTGATTTCTGGTATTTTTTAAAAGGGTTATACTTATTTTATCTCATATTCTGTTAGACATTCCGATAGAATAATTTTTATTTAATTATTATGTAATACCTAATATAAAAAAATAAATAAAAAGATGAAATCACCATTTTCATTAAAAATTGAACTAGAATTGTACAAACAACACACTCAACCAAACTTAACAATTCCTGGATTATATTAACATTAAGATAATATCGCAATCAATACTACACATTGTCTTTCAAATAACAACAAATAAAAAAGACCCCAATTAATTTCTTAATTTCAATTTTTTTTGGTAGAGCAGAAAAAGTAGGTATTAATAAAGGTTTCTTTATTAGCATTAGATAAAGAATACAAAAAACAAACCTCATTAGCCTTGCTTTTGGGGAAAAAAGCAGGCAGCTAATTAGAGCCGACTATCTATACTTTGAATATGTACAAAGCCTCAATTCTTCGAGTAAGCCATTAATGACTTTCTGGCAGCTCGAAATATATGTTGTATATTTCACATTTTTATTTCATTTTCTCAATGTTTCAACTATACTAAATTCTTATTTTATTATTATTTTTTTTGTATGCAAGATATTTTTTGTATTCATCCCCACTTACCATTCAGCCTTCATGGGTGTTCTTAAATTACAAAACATACTCATGCTCTTTTGCATATTTTCTTGATTTTGATTTTTATTTCTGATTTTGATTGGGGCGTCAATATTTAACACGACTCGAAATCCGACCCAGACCTGACGTGGAAAATTTCAGTTTTGGGTCAACCTGTTTACCAAAAGGGTCAGGTTTGAGTTTTAGATATTAACCCATTTTAAAAATTGGGTGGGGTTTAAGCTGTGACCTGAAAACCCGAAATTAACCTGGAATTGACCCAGGTCGCATCTGCATCGCGTGCGCTTTGGTGCTCAGGCTTGCATGGTCACACATGCCTCTCGTTTCTATTTGAGCTAGTGAGAATGAAATAATTTGCTTGATTTTAAAGATAGAGGTCCCTTTTTGTGACTTTGACTGAATTTAAAGCATTCAAGTTAAATTTCAAGATCCTCGTTCAAATCTTCACTTCCCAAAGTAACATCATTAAATTGTGTTTCCTGAGCTGCTGCTTTTGGTTTGATTAAAGAAACGTTCTGCTCCATCCACTCTTTAAATTTGCATTTGGTAGGGAGATAACTTATGACCAGCTTTCTATACATTCTATCCTTGGCCTCCCCTTCTTTTAATTATATTTCTGTCTTGCAAGGGCTTGTTATGCTGTTGGTTGTTCATGGGTACACCGCTACTTTTTAAAACATTCTATTATTCAAGTTCTATAAAGTTAAAGCTACAAACGGGCTAGCATGTTTTTCCCCTAATTGTGCTTCAAGTCGTGCAAATGATCTTTGTATGATATGATGCTTATCTTAAGGAGCTGTATAATGAACTAGAACAACTACGCAACCAACATTATTTTACTTTTGTTTCCTTTTAATTTGTTCACCTATTTTGAATCGCATTCCTGACCCTTCACTCTCTTCTCAGAGACTAGCTAGAGAAAATGGTTTCGAATGGAGAAGGTCCACCAAGGGGCAGCGCAGCAGCAGCAGCAGCTGCTAACTTGCGGAGGCGGAGAACAGGCGGCGGCGGCGGCGGCGGTGCTCCTGCCGGAGGAGCTGCATCCACAATGCTACAGTTCTACACTGATGAAACTACAGGTCATAAGCTATCTCCCAACACTGTCCTTATTATGAGCGTGGGATTCATTGCTTTTGTTGCTTTGATGCATGTGTTTGGTAAGCTCTATCTTGTTCGCAGCTGATCTCAACTGAGATTTTAGCTCGTTTAATAATCTGATTTGATGAGAAAACACAAACTGTATACTTTTATTTCTCCATGGAAATCTTAATAAATTGCTTTTGAACTGCAATGTTTAGGAAATCTCAGGTTTTATGTTGTTGAAACTATCAAGTATTGTGCTTTCTTCTTCAAATTCCTTAATTTTTTTACTGAACATATTAGCAATTATTTTTGTGGGCCATACAAATTGAGATAGCATTCATTGTTTCAAAATCTTGAAGATTGAGATTTTGGACAATTAATGAAGAAGGGAGTGGTGGTGGGATTTTGATGAAACTTACAACTATTCTATTTCATGAATTATTTGTGATAAATGATTGCTATTGAGGAGGCATTCATTTTCATGAGAAATGATTGATATTAAGGAGGCATTCATTCTAATAAAAAAAAGGTGATATAACATTGCAATTTTCGAGCAATTTTATTATTTTAATAATCTAATTATTATATTTTATGAACTCCATTGAATTTATGATAACAATTTGTATAAATGTTTATTTTTTTGTTGATTGGAGGCATCACAGATGCTCTTAGACCATTGTTGTGAACTAACCACCCCAACTTCGTTCTAAGTGTGTTGATTGGGCGCAATTCATGACAATATTGTTTTGGGGCTTTTTGGTTGGTTAAAAAAGAAATGCAATGTAAAATGAATGCAACATAAAAGAAATATTTGTTTGTGGAATGGATGATTCTGTTCTTGGTTTTGAAACTTGCATTGAGATAAAGGTGAGAAATGTATCTCAATGGGAATTTGGTTTTAGGTCTTGTTTTTGCATAAAATAATAAAAAAACATAAAACAATAGAAAGAGATCAACATTTAGGTCAATTTAGGTAAGATCACAAACATCACATACGGAAGAACCTAAGATCTCTTGATTGGTAGACGTCAAACATTCTAACTAGCAAACTAAGACGAGTTGCGTAAAAGAAATTAGTTTAGAATATTATGCTTATTCGTCACATTAATAATTACAACTATATTCCTCTCCCATGCTCTGGGATCGAATCTTGATGCAATGTATTTATTTTTGTGTGGTTCATCTAACATTTCTTGTATTATATAGGCCTTTATTTCATGCATTATTTGTGTAAAATTGTTGTTTTTGAGGAGATGATGTTTGAGTACAAAAAAAAAAAAGTATCTTTTTTATTTTTCAATAGTTTTAGATTTATCAACAAACTTTTTTAGAATAATTTTTTTTTATCTTTAATCAAATATTTGATTCATTAACTCTATTGGATTTGCATGATTGAGATATACAAAGTCTTAGGTTTTGTTTGGGACAAATTTTTTATTTCTTTATGAAGCAACTTTTGTAGTATAAAAATTTTTAATTCAAAATATATATTCTAAAAAATTGCTTCATAAAGCAACAAAAAACTGTCCCAAATAAAGCCTTATTTTGTTCACTTGCTCAAAGTTATTTTGTATTTAAATCTTTATAAAATTATTTCATTATTTTTTCAAGAAGAAACAAGAAGCAAGTTAATGAAAAAAATGAACATAATTTTTTTACATTATGAGTTGTATGAGAATGACATATATGCCAAAATCAATCATCAGATGAATTTTTAAGCATGGGGCTTTATCTTATTAGCTCAACATTTGATTTTCTTGGTGCCATATGGTAAAGGAAATGGTGAAGAAAAATGGCATAAATTGATTTAGTTTTAGCTCATGACATTATGTTGTATGCTATAACGTTCGTATAATATATTGTCATATATGAAAGTCTCTCACATTATAAATAAAAAAATTGAGCGTAGTTCATAAGATATACATGATATTTTACTTTGCAAAAATAGGAACGGGAAAATCATAGGGCTTGGCCTATTAAAATAATTCCACTAATAAAAATAATCTATTACAAAACATGCTCATTTTCATAATTAGGAAAGATATACAATATTTGGATATGAATTGTAAGAAGCCTTGAGACATTCTGGAGTATCATTAAGAGATTATTGATAGTATGCTTAGTTGTTCTCTTTATAATATTACCATCGACCAAGAAGACATGTGGAAGTTTGTATTGACGACAAGCATTAGTCAAAGCGGTAATTGATGGGTGTCATGTTGATGAAGATGATCATTAGCACAAGCGGTGATGATAAATGACAATGTTGATGGCGATGATGATCATCAACATTGAGCTATGATGCACCAATACTCAATTAATATGAATTATGTCATGTCGCATGTCGGATATGTTCAAGACACGCACATTTGCTTAATACATGCTCAACATGCATCAAACATCCTATCCATGCGTCCAATCAAAAGAAACAAGAAGTTTACAACACGTATCCTCAATAATAAATTTTAAATCTAAATGCATATTACATAAATAATATTTGAATAACTTAATAGCTATTTAAAACTAGTATAATAAACATGCCCATTGGTGTTAAAGATGTAAGAGCATGCATTGATTTTTTATCAAATAAATGCATCTCTTCTAGAAGTCAGGATTTTGGTTCACTTATTAGCTCTAAAATTAATATGATTATTCGAGTAATACAAACCGACAAAGAAATTATAATTAATTTAATGAGTTGTTCATAATATCACAGTCTGAAACAGTTCATACTTACATGTATAATTTTATTATGATGATAGAGAGTTGCAATTTTTCCTTTTCAGGCATTTGGACATATGAAATTACACCGGTTCATTACACAATGCTCCAATCTCAATTAGTTTTATAAATGGTAAATTCTCACCACCAAGATTCAAATTATATTGCAAAAATAATCAATGCTTTTTTTCTCCATAAAATATAGTTTTTTTTTTTTAAATGCATTTGGAGACTTATTCATTACTTCTTTAGGCTTTGACATATGGGCTTACATTAGATTCATAGCCTACAATGCAAGGGATATTAAATAACAAAGATTAAAATGATCATTATAATTAATAATTAATGATGTTATCAATGCTTTGTAACTTAGCAATAGGATGATTATATTGACTATTATTGTGGGCTAAAAACCACTATTTAATTTCCAAGCACATGAATAGTTGAATGAGACTCAAGAAGCTCTATTTTATATATATATATATATATATATATATATATATCATTAGGGGATATTAGGTTGCTTAGAAATTAGAAATTAATTTTAAAAATAATTAATTTTATTAGTTTTGTTATTTGATTGAATGTAGTTAGATGTTGACTCTAATTTTAAACTCTACAAATCCTCTTAAAATTCTCTCAAAGAGGATGAATTTGGTCAAAGATTAAAGAAAGATTCATAAAAAAATTTATATATATTCTAACATGTGGTAATTTTATTAAAGTAGAAAATAAGATATATTATTATTCATTGAAAAAGTTAATATGAAGTAATATCAAAATAATACTAGATAAAAAAAAAAAAGAGAGCACAAAAGATAAAATAAATCAAAGGGCCAAAGAAAAGCCTCCAAATGCCCCAAAAGTGCCTATCTGCAAATATTTTTTTTGTAGTTATGATAAATTTTCTTTTTATTCCATTTTATATGAGCATGAATTTGAAACTTCTTCTCTGCTAACTCCTTTCTATTTAAAAAGCTAATATCAAGGCAACTAAGGTGTCATTTGGTTAAGCTTTTTTATTGCTTTCTAAAACAGCTTTTTTTAGTACAAAAAAATTTAGTTCAAAAATTTTTTTAACCTAGAAAATTGCTTTAGAAAGCAATCAGAAAGCTGTCCCAAACGAAACCTAAAAAAGATCAAGCTTGCTCAGCTCCTCAACATGAATGAGAACATTAGAAGCAATAACACCATAGGAGACATGACCACTAATCATGGAGTTCGCTTGGGGGATACTATCATCTTGTTCGATTTTGTTTTGGCCAAATTTAGGGCTAGTTTGGACCCATTTAGGCTTCTCACTGCAACAACAATATTAGCTTAATCATGCAAATATCAATAGTATTAAATATGTTTATTGAGAGCTAATCATCTAATATTAGTTTAATCATGCAAATTGTGCCCCCTTATTTACACTGGATTAGTTGGCTATTGGAAATGTTGAAAAGCTGAAAGTTTACTTAAAATAGTATGATCATCATTGTGATATTGTCCATGATTTACTACAAAAGTTAAACAACTACTTTCATTATTTACTTTAGTTCATTCTAGAATTCATGCTCTCACTTCAAAATTAAATATCATCATATTTCTATGATCATAAATTTAAATTCTTTCTACAATTTATGTTCATATTTTAGGAAGTATGCTATGTATACTTGAACATATCTTTACAGAAACCTAATAGGCAGTCGACGGGTTGTGATAAAATGATTCACTCAAGGACTCCTGGATCCCATTCGCCTGAAAATAATGACGGAGGTCACCAGCCGATAGAAGAAAATTAGGGTTCTCATGGGTCCTCGACCAGTTGTCAGCTCTACAGTCCTTCTAGCCAATCAGAGGACAACACATGTCAATGTTATTCCATATTTGGAGTCTTTAATGTGTTTTTTTTTTAATAGGCATAGCCCTCAAATTCTTATAAATAAAACAAGAAAATCAGCATTTCGGATCCTTTTGCCATCTTGAGCACTTGTACTTAGGGGCGGATCCAGCTTCTTTTTTCAGGGTGGGCAAAAAAAAATTTTTTTGTAGGGGATGGGCAAAGATGCTTATGATTGATTAAATGAGGGCAAAAAAATTTTTTAAGAGGGGGCAAAATACCCAAAATACTCAAAATATTCCAAAATATCCCTCTAAAATTTAAAAAAAAAAAAATTTGAGGGGGGCCATTTTCCCCCCCTCAACTCAATGGGGATCCGCTAGGGGTGTCAATATTTGACACGACACGAAAACCCGACCCGGACCCAACACGGAAAATCCGGGTTGAACCCGACCCAATTTCAAAACGGGTCGGGTTCGGGTTGACCCGGCGGGTTGCCGGGTAAACCCGCCAACCCGTTTAATTTAAAAAAATTCGAATTAATCCGCCCCTGCTTGTACTATAGCTCTTTGATAGCAAATATTTCTCTGCGTTCTCTCACAAATTTTCAGATCATTTTCTCATTGTAAACTTACTAGTAGGGTCGAATTAGTAAGAGGGAAAAAAAAAGAATATTCATTATTATTGGTAAGATATCAACTCAGCTTTTTATTTTTTTCCTGAAAAATTGTTTAATTCATTAATTAAATTATCTTTTTTTTTCTTTTTATTTAAGTAATAATTTTTAAAGGTCTTGGTTTCACCTACTTGTTTGTTGTTGACTTAAAACTACTCTGATTTTATCATTTTAATTAACTAATTAGTTGAAGGAGTAGCTGTCCTCTAATTAATGAGAGCCTATGCATGATGCTTATGATTACAACTTACAAGCTGGACTTGCTATTCTTCCATATTAAAAAAAAAAAGAAAAGAAATGCCAGTTGTTATATTGATTTTCTGTAATTATTATATATTAGCTTAAATTTGAGGGCCCCACTGAAGAGAAGAAGGGAAGATTAGATGACAAACTATAAATGCTTAAGTAATTGGATTAGTTATTTGTATTTTATTGCTAATTAATTAATTATTCTATTATTATTTATAGTGTTATTTATCTGATTAATTATTACTATTTAAATTATAATAATTAAGTTAAATTATCTTAATTTCTAATTTAGATGCTAGGCCTTCTTGGGCTTGCTTTTCATCTTCTTCATTTCTTCGTTGTTGTTGCTTTTCCTCGTGGTCATTTCTTCGTTGCTGCTTCGGCTTCATTCGAAGTAGCATTTTGAAGACTTCATGTGCTTCGTGTGAATTAGTGTTTTGAAAGAGTCGCTAAATAAGCTTCTTCGCCTCCTTCGACGATGTCGGATCAGAAGTCACAAAAGGAGCTCGCTCGCTTCAAAGGTAACTAACTTTCTCCCTTTTGAGCCCTTCTTCGACCAAATCCCATACCACATGATTTAGTAAATCTTGAATTTATGCAAAAGATTGGATACCATTGGATTTATCTCGCATTGAGATTTACGAGATTCTCAAATCCCATTTGGAAGGATTTATGCTAAATCCTACATAAATCCTTTGGCCAAACAGCCCATAAGAGTTATTTGATTATTACATACATGTCACAAATATTCCGCTCTTTTCATGACGTCGATCGTGGTTAAAGCTCTCAACCTCACCCTCTCTCTCTCTCTCTTCCATATCTCTTTGTCTTTTGCTTGGAACCCTAACTATAAATCAATCCATATGGAGTGTCATAATAGCACAAATAATAAATGAGTAGCATTGATAAAGCCATTGGAGCCAAATGGGTCGCAAGGGTCTTGGCAGGGTCAAATGCACAACTCACACAGGGCCATTATCAAATGTAGGATAAATTTTTAATATTTTTTTAATAAAGATTATGTAAGATTTTTTATACAGATATTGAAATAAAATATTATGAGAAGTAAAATTCATTACTTAAACATATGATCTTTTACCTTGAAAAAAAAAACTTGTTTTTGGACCATAAAATCTTTATAAGGTGTAAGATTTTTCACTCAAATATGTAAAATATTTTATATTTCAAATGCAGAGTGTTATGAGATGTGGCGCTTGAATCACCGAAATTTGAAATAGATGAAATCAATTATTGTTATTATTGATGTGCAATAAAAAATTAGTATAAATCTTGAAGTAATATTTAAATAAAAAAAATCAAAGTATATTCAAAATCATCTGAGTTTTGATTTCAACAAGCTTATCATTGAACTGAATGTCTTGACGAGATAAACCTATTGACACAAAAAGTGATCTGAAAGGACTCCAAATAAGCTCAAATCAAGCATTTGAAGCTTAGCTAAAATGGGTGACCAAATGATCTCCAATTCTTGCTCTTATATTCAAATCGAGGGCCTTGACGAAATAACCCCTACTACCAAAAGATTGATTGTTTCTAATACTCAAGTCACATAAATGTTGAAAAAATGTTATATCTTAAAGAAGATCAATAAGGACACAAACTCTCAAGTCTTACGTTAACTCAAACCTCAAACTGTTTGTCCAAGCGTGTTTAAAATTTAGACCCAAATTTGGCCCGACATGACGTGTTAACCTAGTTGAGTGAGATGAATGAGTATGAGCTAGCAGGTAAGCGGGCAGGCGAGAGCAAGCCGGTGAGCACAAGGGGTGAGATGCGACAGGAGGATTCGCAAGCAATAGAGGGACAAGTGTAATGACTATGAGAACAACAAGCGAGATGCGACCCAGCAAGCAGACAATGGTGGGCCAAACGAGTTGCAGTTGGTTCATGGGTTAAATCAAACTTGACCCGACATTTCAATTGGGTTAAAAAATTAACTCGAACCCAACCCATTTGTTAAACTGGTCAACCCGAACCTGAAAGTTTCAGGTCGGGTCACATATTAACACCTCTACATATTATCTTGACATAAGTGTATAATTATATCACATTGATTTCAACAATTTTTAATTTGCTAAAATAGGAAGGCCATGTAAAATGAAATATAGTATAAAATGAACATAATACATTTAAAATAATTGAATTTATTGTGTTAAATAAATGTATAATATTATTTTTATTTGGTTTGAAGTAAATTAATGCAATGAAAAGTTCGATGATAGTGATGGTCGATGGTCGGTAGTAGTTGGGGTGGCCATGGTGATATCGATGAGATGGGAATGATGGCAATCAATAAGCTTTGGGGCAGCGAGGTGTAGGCAGTGGCATCAGAGGGGTGGGGCAGCAGTAGCAACTGTCGTCAATAATAGCATAGTCAGCTTGCAATGTATTTTAAATTCCGCTAAAAATTAGCTTAATTTAAAATACATTAATAATGAACTATATAGCGAATAGGTATTATTAAAACTTTAATAATGTATTTAAGTATTGAAAAAAAAGTAGGCATTATATTGAAAATTAAAGCGGCAAAAAAAAAAATATCGATTCAAAGTTTCTCTTTAAACACACGCTTTGAAAGTAAATATCATAACTCTATATTTCACAATAATTCTATATATATTTTTTGTCTATTTTTTTTTTAATTTTTAAAATATATTTTCTACTTTTTTTAAATTATTTTTCAGAATTTATTATAACAAGTCACACACTCACAACTTACAATAGTATTTTTTTTTAAATAAGTCATCTACTAGTTCGGCGATTAACACATAACTCAATAAGTTTGAGTCAGCATAAGTCGCATGTTTTGATAAATGACTTTACTTATTTTTTATATGTCATAAAAAAATTATCTTGACCGGGCACGAATCTCGATGCAAAATCAAGTTGAAAACTTTCAAAATTAAAATTGGAACCATCCAAACTTTGATTTCAACAAACTTGTATTTGAAATGAGCGTGTCGAGAATACGAACCCAAATGACACTAAATCCAACCCAATCCGAGCTCAAATGGGTCCAAATCAAGGTTTAGAAGCGGTGTTGGAAGATTCAAACCACAATTTGGATTATCAAACTATTTTAAAACATAATGTGCTTATAGTCGAATCGAGCGGCTTGACGAGACGAATCCAACAAACACAAGATCACCAAAATCCAACATCACTAAGACATTCAAATGTCCATCAAAGGGTCCATGATCAAGGGATTCAACATCGTCCGTCCATCAAACCACTCCCTAGTCTCCATTTATCCTTGATCTCTAACCTATTTACGGGCCATGCCACTCCAGAAATCTATAAATAGACCTCTTATTTCTCTTGAAAAGAGATCCAAGCAAGAAGACAAGAAGAGAAGGAAGAAGCTCCTCCTCAACCACCGCCGGACCACCACTTGACACCCTCGCCTTTGACAGATCACCACTTGAGGCCCACGCCTTCATCGAACCACCACTTGAGGCCCCCGCCTTTGCCGGACCACCACTTGAGGCCTTCATCTTCGTTGGACCACCACCTAAGGCCCTCACACTCACCGGACCACCACTTGAGGCCCTCACCTTCGTCGGACCACCACCTGAGGCCCTCACCTTCGTCAGACCACAACCTAAGGGCCTGAACTCCGCCAAACCACTACTTGAGGCCCTAAACTCCGTAAGACCATCAACTGACACCAAAGTTCTGTCAAGCCAGTGTTATACTACTAACTAACGCCTCAACTTCCAAATGATGCCAGATTTAACACTAGACTTCAACCATCCGGTTGACATTTGTAATCTGATTTCCCTCAAAGACGAAGCAGCTCATTGTACTCAACTCAAATTCTAATTAAATCTTTTCAACTGGGCTAAGCCCCGTGTTTTTTCAGTTTTTCCTTTTTTCAGGATTTTCCACATAAAAAATCTTGTGCTATTTGTGTGTGAGATGGATATATGTGCAATGCTAAGATATAAAATTACAACTATATCGTCGCATATATTCTAGCCCGCAATAATTTTTTAATTTATTTTTTTATACTTAATTACATTATTAAAATTTTAATAATGCCTGGTTTAAAAATTTATACAAGGCGGGAGCGCTGAGCGACCCCAACGCTATTTCCCGACGTTAAACCTTAGCTGGCGTCAATTTTTTTTTTACTCTTCTGACGTTTAGATCTGAGTTGAAGAGAAGCGATGATGGCGGTGGGATCTACTCCGCTTCGTCTCCTACTACTAAATTCAACTGCAAGTGACGGAACCCCGCAACCGTCGCCCTCTTTTTCTTCGCCTCTGGCCACCCCTTTCCTTTCCAAAAGCCTAAGAAGTCCCTTCGCTTCTCCTATTCTGCTAGTTCGCCAATTGACAGATAGAAGAAGACAGAATCCATGGAGATTGCTTCGTTATCTGTTCTAGCTATAATTCTTGGTGGTATTTCGCTCGTTGGCGGGCAGGCTGACAATTGCGAAGCGAATCGCAACGCCGTCCTTCCTGTAGGTTACAGCAACATCACTCTGGTTTGCCTTCCGATCTGGAACAATCTCATTCTTCGGGTAATTGCTGGAAGTTTGTATTTAGTTTTTGGTAGTCTGTGGATCTTCTGATTTTAAGGCTTGGGAGTAGGAAGGGAAGTACATTGTCTTAGAGTAATGCTTTATTCATCTGAATCAAAACGCTTGGTTAAGTTTAGGATTGTTTAATTGGATAAGGCGAAAGGAGAATCTCGTTGGCAAACTCGCCTTCTGTGCTGACTAATTGAATTTTTCCACTTGGGTTACTCTCCATGTTGGCGACAGGATTATGAGATTATTCCCCTCTTTTGGTAAAAGATGCAGATCCAATGCCTTTTTGCTTAAATTGACAATAGTGTAAGTGGAAGTGAAAGAATTGTCACCAGCCACACGCACACCCAAGATTTTGTGGTTGGAGCCTTAAAAATCTATCCACTAGATCAAGGTGGACTGCGTGCCAGCCTCAGTAATGAAAGAGCCTTCTCTTTCTTTTATTTTATTTTTATTTTTATTTTTATTTTGAGATATTAGTTGTTCTTAACATAAATAATGCATTTAATGATGACTTTTACAGAATTTTTGTATCGCCAATTGAACACATCACTGGATCTAAGAATCATAAATAAAGATGGAAGAGATTCTGTTTCCCCTATTGATATTAATTTATCAAATTCTTTTGGCTGTATCATTGATCTTAATGAATTTTTCCAAGATTAGTGTTCTCCAACACATGTGAATGTAATACTCAGTAGAAAAATTACTAAGCTTTCTCTCTTCCATCTATCTCCATCTCTCCCTTAGTTCCACCAGATCAAGACTTTTTTAGTTATGGGCTCATGTGGAATATTTTATCTTCATAGTTTTTTGGTGGATCAAACCGTTACTCACTAAGAATAAGAGTTTGTTTGTTTTTTTTTTTTTTTCTCTTGTAAATTTGATGGCTTGCTCCCATGGCTTTACTGCAGTATTCCCTGAACGAAGATAACGTTCTGACAATCGTGCTTTCTATGCTCTACACCTCTGGTTGGGTTGGAATGGGATTCTCAAAGGATGGGATGATGGTGGGCTCAAGCGCCATGGTTGGCTGGATAGGGAATACTGGAAGACCACACATCAAGCAATTCTATCTGCGCGGCCAGTCGAGCTCTCAAGTTCTAGCTGATCAAGGACAGTTGCCGGCGGCAGGTGGTTCCCCTGCCGTTGTTCAGAATGGACCGAACATCTACATTGCCTTCCAGTTGAAATTTCTAAGTAGAATTACACAGCAGAAGCTCCTGTTTGCTTTTGGGACGGCCACGCCAGTTAACGACCGATTAACAAAGCATCAGGATAAGATATCGGTTTCCTTCGATTTCTCATCGAGTAAGTCTCTGCCATCTTCCATTTTGCTTTTTTTCTTCTTTTGTCTGTACCCCAATTAAAAAAAAAACAATCTTTGATCTTGTGTAATGTTATGTTTAGCATTTTTTTCTTTTAACATTTAGGTCAATTAAGACAAATTTACACACACATCAGATATGAAAGATTCGAATCCAAAATCTCTTAATTTGTAACCAAAACTCTCGACCAACAGGCAAAAAAAATTTTTAAAGTAAGTTTGAGGGCGCACGAGAGTAACTAAACATCAAGTAAATTGCGAACCATTGAATGCATCAAAATAATTAAGAGGTAAAACATAAGGACTAAAGTGAAGGTTTCTTTTTTAAAATGAATCAAATTACAGTGAGGATTCATAATGCCACCAACTTTTTGGTATAAGACTGAGGTTTTATTTGGTACTATTTTTTTATTGCTTCTTAAATTAGCTTTTTAGTACAAAAATTTTATTTATTTTTTATTATAAGGTTGTTTTGAAGAAGCATTAAAAAAATTGTCCCAAACAAAGCCTGATTATAATGATGAATCAAACTGGATAAAATATTAAGAATAACTGAAAATTCCCGCATGCACAACTATAACAAGGCGTGTTCTTATTTTCTAATTCTATGTAAACGAGTTTATCCTGTTACAAAGTTCAACTTGAATATCACCATGAAGAAATTTTACCGATAATATGATTGATCTCAAGCTTGATTTACAGGGACTTTCTCTGCTTCTTCCTACCCATACCAGCTGAAGAGGACACATGGCATACTGAACATAATTGGTTGGGGTGTGATATTGCCAATAGGGGCAATAGTGGCAAGATATTTTAGAACCAGCGATCCATTGTGGTTCTATCTTCACTCAGCAATTCAGTTTATTGGATTCATCCTTGGGCTAGCTGGTGTGGTTGCCGGAGTTGCACTTTATCATAAATTGCATGCGAGTGTCTCATCACACAGGGCCCTTGGCATTCTCATCCTTGTGCTTGGCATCCTTCAGGTATGGAAAGAGTTTGTTTTCTTTAGAATAAATTTATCTTGAACCATAATGTTCTAGTTTCATTTTTTATTTTTGAATTTGACTCCAAGATTGAATATTGCTTGAAAATTGGATTTATTTTTTTTATGATTAAGCACAAATTAAGATTTCGTTTGGGATGACTTTCTTATTGCTTCTTAAAGCCGCTTTTTAGTTAAAAAATTTAAATTTTTGTACTAGGAAGCTACTTTATGAAGTAGTAAGAAAACCAGTCCCAAACTAAGGCTTTGTTTGGAACGGTTTTGTTTATGCTTCTTAAAGCAATTTTCTAGTACAATAATTAATTTTTTATACTAAAATTTTACTTTAATAAACAGTAATAAAACCATCCCAAACGAAGCCTAAGCCAAAGACTATCAAGTCATACTTGAGCCGAATGAACTTGAATTGTTTTATGATTGCATCAAATTGAGATAGCATAAATTTAGATCAAAACATATATGCCTGTATGTATGAAGGGATGTACAAATGCATATAAAACTTATAAAGGGATGTATAAAGTGGGTTGGGTTTAGCTTTAGGCTTCGTTTGGGACAGTTTCTTTCTGATTCTTAAAGCAGCTTTCTACTATAAAATTAAAAAATTTTGTACTAAAAAGCTGCTTTAAAAATAAAAAGAAATCCATCCGAAACAAAGCCTTCATTGCAATTAAATACATATAGCGAGGTTAGCTCACTTCAAGATCATATCATTAGCAGTTCATACCTTGCATTTGATTCTTCTTGACCCTCGATTTATGAAGAAATGATATTGTACTCCACTTTTCACCAGGTATTAGCGCTTTTCCTGAGGCCTGAAAAGGATTATAAGCTACGAAAATATTGGAACTGGTACCACTGGTGGGTGGGAAGACTAGTTCTCTTCCTTGCAGTAGTAAATATTTTTGTTGGAATTCACGTAGGAAGTGCAGGCGATTCTTGGAAAATTGGCTATGGATTCAACCTTGGTTTGCTTTTACTAGCAACAATTATCCTGGAATTTCTGCTGTGGACAAAATGGTCTAAAAAGACAGTCAACGCACCAACATTCTAAATTTAAATGCACTGATTTGTGACATAAATTAATTTTTTTTGTAAGTTTTTTGTGTAGTTATTGTATTTGATATTTCATTTGCAAATTTATTATAAAATTTGTTAAGTGTTTTTAAGTTAAAAGACATCTACTGCTGTGTATTGCTGCAAAATCATATTTTTTGATGAAGAATGAGAGCATTCTCCATAGTACTTCTAATGTCCTAAGCTGCTATCTTTGCTATCATAAATCTAACCAAATAAATAATTCAATAAGTTTAGAATTATATATAACCACTTGAATCAAATTAAAAAAAGCATCAATTAAACAGCATAATAAATAAATCACAAATTAATAAGCTGATCAACATCATTGAGGATTCGTTTGAAACAACTTTTTTGTTGCTTTTCAAAAAAGAATTTTAGTAATTTTTTTACTAAAACACAAGTTTAACAAGCAATAAAAAGCTGTCCCTAACGAAGCCTGAGTTTAACGCTAAAATTTCAACAAATTTGAATAAGCATTAATCAAATCAAGTTCAAGTCATTCATGGAATTCATTAGTTCACTTACAGCATCCTCAGCCATTCAACAACAAAAAGAGAACTACAATGCACAAAGTAGATCAAATGAAAAGAATTCAAAATGATATGCATCACAAAGATGCCAAAGATAAAAATAGAAAACAGACATAGTCAATGAGTTAAAATTATTTTGTGGATACGGACGTCGTTTGGAGGCAAATCAAAACACGTCACGTCACTTTTTGTTGTGTATCATTGTGTACCGGGTGACATGGCGCCATCTGATTTGGCTCCTGATAGTCCGGTGTACGTACAGAATAATTTATCATCAATGAGGCATCAAAAAAGTTAGTCTGCTTGATGAATAGATGCTCTATGCCTTGTGCTCTGCATACAACAGTCTACATGATAATTGTGGCATCATTTTGGCATCTTGTATTTTTCTTATTCTAAAACAATCAACACCCATATTTTCAAGTGAAAACTTCACACTGCCAAACACAACTCTCCATTTTTCTCATCTAGAACTTAGGACTTGACAATAGCAATATTTGTTCTTACAAAACACCATTTTTTATAATTAGGTGTTTGAATAATCTTGCCGAGTATCAAATAACATTTGATAAACATCTTATTATAATGTCCATCTTGTAAATTTTACTTTTTGTTGGCACATGATTGATATTGTTGCAATCATGTTTAAAATAATAAGGCTCTTTAACTTGCATTCTATTCGAATTATAGGCTATACTCAGTGACTATTATGATACTTGTGAATGCTAAAGCAAATAAGAACACCATAATCACAATTTAACTTATATGTATAATTTTCTTGATTCAAAATCTAAGGTCCTCCTTCAAGATACTTCTAACTAATGTTTTGCATTGAGATTTCAAATATGATTCTTTCTACAATGACAATCAAAACATTCTAATGAAAAACAATAATTACCATGGTTTAAAATTGCGCAATTAGAGGCGCGCCTCAAGGCGCGCCTTTGCGCAATTTGTCACAAATCATCTTAAACCAACTGCTTCAGAAAATCATTATCAAGAAGAAAAGCGATTGACAACTTAATAAAATAAATATATAAAACAACTCTAATACCATGGCTGACACTGATATAAAAAGCAACTACACTTCTGCTCGGAAAGCCAATTTATTACAAGGAAACTTAATTGCACAATCACAAAAGAATGATCCCACAAACAAAAGAAGGATAATATTTTTTATGATATGCCTGAAAATGTTGCAGTTTAGTTCATGCTCAGAAATCCTTTGCAGTATTGGAAAGAGCATACGGGGGATCGTGCCCCGCAATATCAAGTAATCCAATTAGGATTCATCACAGCAACTTACAAAACAATAAAGAAATTACTACATGTATTAGATAAATGTTCCTTATCATCGTAGAAAAAATATGGTGGCAATCAGATGTTTGTTGGGGCTTACAATACAAAATGTTGGGAGTAGTCTAGACTGTTATTCATACTTAGAATACAGCCCACGCCTTTTCCTCTCCACCCATCATGTAAAAGCATGAATAATTTGTTATTGAAGAGGTTGCGACAGCCACTGTTAAAACTTGAACAGGGACAAGGGCCCTCTTCCTCCCCTCGACTATTATCTTAACACCATCAAAGTTATTTTCTACCAAGACCTTTTACTTTACATCATATCCTTTCCGTCAGAAGAGGAGCATTACTTAAAAAGTAAAAAACACTTAATTTGATAATTTCACACCATTTATCAAACATTAAAAAGAAAATTAATAAAAAGATAAGTGTCTCTAAATGAAAAAACATAAACCAGTGTATATCATTTCCAAAAAAAAAAAGTCAAGAATAACTAATGCAAGGCTAAGATTTCAGGCTGTTTGCAATGATTTTAGGATTTAGCAATGCCCCTGACAATTGTTTAAAAAAAAACTAAATGAACCAAAAGTGTATACTCAAATATACCTTTCATAGGTACCTTACAAGAAGTTGGCAAGTCATGCTGAAGGAACTCGTCAATAGTGGGGTCCACAAGGGGACTATCGGATGATCAATCAATAAGATCAATCAATAGGAACTACTTGTCTGAAACGTTCAGAAGAAATCGCCCAAATGATCATTAGATGATACTTGCCCAAGCCTACCAAGGGAAGTCGTCCCTCATAGGGGTACAACTCAAGTTCATTAATCAAGCAAGCAACTTGTCACCCACCGCAAGCTCAAATATAAGAAAGCACCAACTAACGGGGCTCTCAACTCATCCCACCACCGGACTCAAATCTCTCCATTCCCACAACTATAACTCACTCACCTTCTCCCTTCCAAAGCGATCCAAGGCCTTCAACACAATTCATCAACAATCTCAACTAGCCCTCTGATCACATGTCCCCTCATCTCAGCACTCACAGACAAACTCACCTAAGCCTATAAAGCACTGCTAACCATAGAGGCAGATCACCAAGTGCCATCCATTGTTGACCTCTCCAGCCATTAAATGGTGAAAAATAATGGTGAAAAAGAGAATTTTGAATTCTTTTTACATCTTTTAACATCCTAGGATCTTTTTACATCTTTTGTATAATTTACATTTTTTTATTCAGTGAGATTTTCAGCTCCCAAAACATCTCTTTACATATTCTCTTAGCAGCCTCCTTTCTCTCCATTATCACACAAATTCCAGGTCACCCCTCACAAAGTTCAATTGCTAGTAAGGTAGAGTATCATACACTGACATTTTTTTATCCAACAAAAAGTTCAAAAATTATCTTCTGTCCTTATTGTTTTACATATTTGTATCAAGAAGACAAATAAGAAATAAAGTAAAATAGAAAATATTTTAGCAAATTCCATGAGAGAAAATGGCATGAGCTTAGAGACAAGCACTACAAAGTTGATTGCTTTTTGAAAATGAATCAATCTATGAGGGCTAAGGTATTCAAATGATGCCTTCTATATCCAAATGCCTGATACTAAGAAGCAAGCCTCTCAATGGTATTGGAAGGAAGGTTCATGTAATAACTAGTTACAAATACAAAATCACAAGAAACAAAAACTCATTCTCATGCACCCAACAAGAAAAAAATATTTTGCACACAATTTTTCCCAACTAAACAAGTGGATGAAAACCAATTTCAAGTCAATTCCTTTATCATTTCATTTTAATTTTCTCTTCTAATTCTTCAAACCAAACGGAACCTTAAAGAAAGGCCTCAGGATAGAAAGCAGACAAAACAGCGGATATTTAGTTCAACTGGAAAAATAGCCATCCCACCATCCCACCCGACCCAAAAAGGAAAATAAACGGAAAAACCCAACACAGACTAAAAGGCTTGCACTGATGGTCCCTAGGGAACGACAAAAATATTTGTATGGGCGCAATACATTTGGCTGGTCATATTAGTTCCACATTACTCGGTATAGGTTAAATAATGTAACATATTCATACACCCCCAATCTCTGCAACACACTGTAACAATAACTAAGCACGGTGAGGCAAAAAAAAAGGTCAATAACAACATAAAAACTATAAGACCAATTAGAAAGATAATAAAAAAGGAATTCAAAGAAGGAAATCCCGCAATAGTAATACAACTTTCCTAACAAAGAATAAACAACTGAAGAAAACGGGAATGAACCCGATAGGATTTAAAAAACGGGAAAGGCATTAGAGCACTCACCAAAGATAAGCGGCAACTCCTGAAACACAAAAAAGAGACAAATCAAAGCAATCGCAGCCGACCTGAATGGCCGGAAGCTCATCTTCCTCTTGGACCAGAAATTGAGAAGCATTGGCTGCAGATTCTAAACTACCGCACAATTCAGGTTCTGTTAGGATTTCAGCAGAAACGTCGAGGAGGTAAGCATCTATGGAAAGAATAAAAAAATCATGATGCGTAAATTCATGTTAAGATTCTAATTGTGATCGAGAGGGGCGTAGGGAAACGGACGAGTCGCAGCTTTGTATTGCTACGCGAGCATGCATCCCATGATAAAGAGATCGAGATCGAACAAAGCCGACGTGCCGGAGAGGACCTGCTGAGGCTGCAAGGCCGACGTAGGGGAGGACGACGTGAGTTAGCTCTAGACGGCAGTAGCGGCGATGCGCATGAATAAACTCAACCTAGGGCATCATAACTTTCCTTACATTTTCACTTATATATCCCACATCCAATGATCCAATGTCTAAAGGAGCCATTTCTTACATGTATTATGTTAGTTTAATTATACATTCATTAAATGGTGCATCTTAATGATTTAATATTTAATAAAAATATAAATAATTTTTTAATTTATTTTATTTATTTCTTTATTTTTAAAATAAAAAATATACATTATTATTTAAAATAAAATATTATTCATAAAACAAGTAAACAACACTTAATATTATGCCTTCACCTAGGAACTCCCATCGATATTGGTTTCCATCAAAATTTCTATAAACCTCAGCGACAAAACAGCAAGGAAATCACATGGGTGCAGATGTTGATGGCATACAAAGTGGTAGCAGGCCCAACGGCCATGGGTGGAGGCAGTCGATGGTGGTTGGCAGTAACGAACGATGGTGGTGGCGGTTGTGATCGAGATAGGCACTTGCAAATGGCCATGACAATGAATTTACACTGTAATTAAAAACCGATCAAATCTAACGGTTTCCAAATACATCAAATTTGTATGAAATGTTGTATTTCATATACACCAAACGTTTACTCCATATTTCTTTTACTTCAAACCATACATCATCATTTTCAAAACCTTGTATTTGAAATAATTTACACATCCTTTATTTCAAATAAAATTTCTCATCTATCATTCTGATATAATCCTTGAAACTAAATATTTAGCAGCACTGGTTGCCTTCTCAACACATTCTTGATGCCTCACAAATACATAGAAAGTGAAGCTTGCACACATAGAGACATAAAGAGCAATAGCATTATCTTCCAAACCAAAAATAAATTGTGATGAATACAACACAAATTTTGCCACAGGTCATTAAGGATATCCAACATTAGCAAGTTAAATTAGTAAGGTCATGAAGCAAATAATTGATAGCCAAACTTGCAAAAGCATATGCTTCTGAACATATATAGGTGTATATTAAAAAAGAGTAAGAATGTTAGAGAAGGGATATCATCACATCCTTGACATTGAACATACAACAATATGAGGTTGCAAGCGTGTGGCATAAAAAATTCATCCAGACTCTACCGCTGCAAAGAATCTTGCACAAAGTTGGAATATCCAAGTAAAAGACTCCATATAAGTAGGTTCTTGAAGTAGCAGCAACATTGGTAGAAGAAGTACGATCATAAGTATTTAATAGCATTACAAGAAAAATTCTAGAGGAGCTTCATACCATCCCTGATGCCTCATTGCTAAAGTAGAGGAAGAATCCAACATGACCAAATTGTCAATTGTTAGCAATAACTATCACTGCCTCTCCAAAAAAAAACTCATCATCTAGTAGCCAAAGAAACATAACAAAGCTAAGAAACAAGAATTGATAATGGATATGTTGTAACAGCCAAAGCAGGAGAAGCTGGAGGGGATTTTATTAGTGAAGAGATTATTAGGGAGTTTGGCTCAACTGAAAGAGCTATGCTTCAAGAGCAAAGAACATAATAAGTAGCAGGAGAAGAAGAAGAAGAAAAAGGCTCGTATGACAATGAATCCATGATATAAGTACATTGGTAGAAGAAGTACGATCATAAGTAAAATCCACAGTCAATTCATTCCACATACAATGCACTGATAAACCAACTCTCAAAAGTATCATGTTTCTAATATAATGGAAAAAAAACCCATATATACTCTTGCTATGTTTTTTCTTAAGAATAAATCATCAACAAATTATACATTTTGCCAAAGTCAACAAGCTAATTTTCATATTATGAAAAAAGATACATCACCTTCTCTTTTAAAAAAAAATAGTAATAATCTAGGAAAAATGCTAGAATGAGCTATTGAATTGATATGGCTGATACAAAAGCCAAACCGAAAAGTGTGCCTTATGTAATCTAACTCTAAATAGAAAACAGCAGAGCACACAATCATACACATTAAGTTGTAAGCCCCTATAATTAGTCATATAATCATGATTCATCATTTCATTGATGCTTAAAGCAAATGCATTGGCTCTATCCCATAGATAAATTAAAAGAGTTATATGCTCGATGCTAAAAACTATAGCATTTAAGACTTCCAAAAATCTGCAGAACATTTATGTAGATAATTGCTTGCATGAAAACTAGTAAAGTTCCATAGACAGCAAACATGAAAGACATAGAATTAGAATTTATAATAAAAAAAAGTGAAGACGATCAATACCATCATGATCACAAATTGTTGCATAACGACTATTTGCAAGAGGGCATGAACTCCAATTGCAAATTCCAGTAACATTATATGGATTTCTACAGAAAACTCCAGTGGTTATCCTGTACCAAAACACGATCATTAGCATGATATACAACAGATTTCAGGAAAGTAGGGTTATGTTACAATCATGCAAAAACAAGATTATTAGTACTTAGCCATAAAGCTGCAGTGGTGGTGTCTGATGACATCCCATATCACATCGTCGTGCTGCATCTTGAAAATGTGTTATTCCCCCGGCTATACTTTGGAATATTGAAGTCAGCAAGGCTCCTCTTTTCCTCTTAAAAGAGGGGCTGTTTGGCAACAGGATTTATGATAAATCCTGCCAAAGGGGATTTGAGCGCCCCGTAAATCTCACGGCCGAATAAATCCTCCGTTTCCCTCTTTTTGCTGTAAATCCCGGATTTAATCAATCCTGTAGTTCGGCGGATATACGGGATTTGGCTGAAGAAGCGCGCAAAAGGGGAAAGTTATCTTCACAGCGAGCGAGCTCCCGTCGTTGCTTCCGATGAAAATGTCACAACTTACGATCCGAGAGGAAGGGAACGTGGTCGAAGGAGCGAATTCGAACAGCAACAAGGGAGCCGAAGAAGCTCCTCGTGCTTCGGCTCCTCGTGCAATCTCTACACACCTCAAAGAAGCCAAACAGAAACGACCAAAAAGCAAACCCTAGACGCCTCTAAGTTATTATTGATTAACTTAATTAATATAATTTAAAATATTAATCATTAAAAAATAATTAGATAATTAATAGTACAATTAGTTCATAAATTAATTATCTAAATTAATTTAATTAAGTAGTTAGTGATACAATTAATAATTAAAAATTAATACAACTAGATTAATTAATATGATTTAAAATAGAAATTATTAAATTTATAATTAATAGTTTGAATAATTAATTAATTAATTAATTAATACTAGAATTCTTCAATGATTAATGAGATGATATTAATAATAATAATTTTAATTAAAACTAATAAAATAATACTTAAATATTAATTATATTATTATAATTTTAATTAATAATTATAGTAGGATTATTTTAATAATTATTTATTTCAATAATAGTGGATTAAATATAATTTCAATAGAATAATTACTATATAATATTATAAATGTATTAAATTATTAATTAGTATTAAATATTTAATGATTAATGAGATATAACAATATAATAATAATATTAACTAATTAAATAATACTTTAAAATTAATTAAATCATTAGTAGGAGTATTAGTTAAAAAAGAACTAATTGATTAGATAATTACTAATATAATTAAATAATCAAATATTTATAAATTAACACATTATAATATTTTTAATATACTATATTAGTAATTAAATTAATTAATAATTAAGTGATTTTCTAATTAAATTAATTTTTCATCATAATTTGTTAACTATATTAATTAAA